GGGGGTTTTGGTTGGATGGAAAGGGGGGGGTGGTTCTTGAATAAATTACTCCGTACCCAGCAGTCAATCGCACCTGGCAACACCGCAGTAAATCATCTACTTTCGAGTACCCTACACGCGGTGATGCGTCGTCGACAGCCAGGCTCTACCATACCAATTGCCGGACCTTGAAGGTACCAGTGCTCCTGCTGCATGTCTTGGCGTCTTCGCTGCCAGGAATTCGAGCCTCAGGTGCACAAGATCTGCTCCAAGATACACACTGTCAGATGCTCCGTACTCGGTATCGCACTGTGTGGTAAATACGCTGCCACAGCACCGAAACGCCGAAGCTTGCCTCCCTGGCTGCGGAAATCCCTAGTAACGAGCTACTTGGGGGCACTGGGGAGCTATATTGGGGGCACACTAATCTAGGTGCTGAAGTCGATGACGACGTTAACTTTGACGGCAGAAACCGAGATATGCGAAATGATGCAGCTACCCTGTACCACCACCATCCGCCAGAGAAACATGTTCTTAGCCTCACCTTAATGCTACACTGACATGTCAGGCCAATGATCGGTAGCAACACAGGGGCATGTTTATCCAGACGAGGCTCAAGTATAGTAGCCTCACCCAATCGTCGTCTAAACTACGCACTTGTCCGTCCGTACTTGGGCCTTGGGACATTTCTGCTGCACTACGAGATTCGCGGTTTTTGTGAAGACAGACGGGCACAGACACTCATTCAGCTGGTTCGCGGTCAACAAGAAGCGGCACAAGTCGGGCAGGACGCTGGAACTTGGGGCATCGTGCGATATCACAGAGAGTCTTATAGAACCACAGCTCCTGGGTATCCGATGCGACGGCCACAGGTGGTGAGTGACCGAAGCAAGGAATAGCCAGCCAAAAGTTCGCTATCGTGTATATTTCGCCCGGCACAAAATAGGCTGAAATTCTGCTGTGCAATGACCACCCCTGCTACTAAGATAAGCACGCCGTAAATCAGATCCCATCACACCTGAGCACAAGGCCCGTGGTTGTGTGTCGAGATATGTCACAGCAAAGCCTGGAGTCGTGAGGTTGTGCGCTCCAAAAGAAGTGCAAGTATCGGGAGAAGAGTCGACGCGCCGAAGCGGGTAGCGGTAGAAAGCAGAAGCATTTCTTCCTACCGCCATTGCTGCGACTCGCGCGGTTTCGATAAGCCCCTGGCGCAGAAAAGGGGCCAAGGCCAAGGGAGGGATGGGAGCTCCAGCGCATTGTGGGCTCCCTCCAGAGTCGGCGTTTTATCGTTGGCGAGAGGACAGGATAGGTGACATCCCCCCCATGCTTCTAACTCTTGTTGAGTACAACTTGACTCCGTATATGATATATGCGAGGATTGCAACATTTGACACATGCACCGGCCGCCAGACGTCTTGCGCCTTCCCCGTCCCAATCGGTTATCAACGAGGTAGGTACTGGGTATTTCTGCAACTACCTACTTAAGTAGGTACTTACCCAAGTACCTACACTTTAGACTATGCCCGGACATTTTGAGCCTGAGAGCGTACCTACTTAAGAAGTAGGTAGGTACCTTAAGTCGTCACTCGAGGTGCTTGGTAAGAAGTACTTAGGTACTTGAAAGATCTCGCTCGACGTTCAGCATGTGCGCAATGACCCTTAACTTAGAACACTGTCTACTTCCAGGAAGTATGTAGGTACTTAAGTAAGTTACTCGGTAGGTGGCCACCGAGATAGGTACTCAAGAATTTAAGTACTTCGGCACCTAAAGAAGGTAGGGACTCCAACCGGACCCAAGTAACAACCTGGAAAGGAACCCTACTTTAAGTACCTACCTTAGGTGCTCCGTACTTAAGGTACTTAATAGAAACCTGGTACCTAATACACTACGGAACTTATGTACGTACTTAAGTACTACGTGGCGTGAGGGGCCTGTCGGGAAACACTATGCTCGTCTTTAGTAGTTGCCAGCTAAGTACTGGGTACCTACTTGTAAGTAGGTGAGTACTCAAGTATGAAGCTGTGCCGGTAACGGCACCAGGCGCCGAGGTAATGAAAGTCCAAGGAACTCAACCACTGGCTGTACTTGGGTCAAACGTTGCGTGCGGCACGGCAGGGCGGCGGACTCGAGTCGTTCTCGATGGCAGGAGGTGGTCAGCCGATGCCAGGCCATCTCAACTTCTCAAATCGCGGACAGTTTCAAGTCAGGTAGTACTTACTTACTTATGCAGTAATGCTACCTGACCAGACGTTATTAATAACTCGTAGCACTGGACCTCCTGCGCCTCACAACATCGAACCCACACAACCAGACTCTCAATATTCAATGTTCCCCTCCAATTCCTTGTCTCCTTAGACCTCCCCGCGCCGACAAGCACCAGGTTCAGCACACAGCGCATCGTGCATGTGGCATGATTGTTGCATTTGCGGATTCATAGCCTGCCACCTGCAGCTCGGTGAGAGGGCTGACTCGCGCTTTGGCCATGTCCTGAGGGCATCAATCAGCAGGCCGCCGAAAACCAACCAACCTCGAACTGCTCAAGTCTTCAACCGTCGACGTTGCCTTTTTTTTAACCCTTCTTTGGCAACCTCCGGCGTGCGGCGCAGTATCCCAAGCTTGCTGACCCCAGCCTCAACTCTGCCCGCCACATCAACCGCTTGACGGACGATTCGCTCCTTTATATCCATCTGGCGCTCGACAAGAAAAGCTGCTGCCCTCGCCGTCTTGCGCTGTTCTTGTGTGCGTCGTGCCTCTGAAGGCCAACTAGCCCCTCTAACCCCCGCACTCGCCGCCATGGATGGCATTGTGGGCACTGCGCCGCACGGCACCATGTATGTGCGAGCCTTATACGACTACGACGCCGACGACAGAACCAGCCTCAGTTTTCACGAAGGCGATGTCATTCAGGTCATCACTCAGCTGGAGAGTGGTTGGTGGGACGGTGTCATCAATGGCGTCCGCGGCTGGTTCCCAAGCAACTACTGCCAAATCATCGCCAGCCCAGATGACCTCCCAGAACACGGCCACAACGGCCTCATGGACCGCCTTGACGACGAGCCCGACGAACCCGATGGCTTCGATGAGAGCTTCGACCAAGACGACGATTCCGAGGCAGAAGATGCCTCAGCTTTGCTGCCGCAGGGCACCGACACCGGGGACAAATCAAGAGCCGACTTCTGGATTCCCCAGGCTACACCCGACGGTCGGCTCTTTTATTATAACATGATGACCGGCGATAGGAGTATGGAGCTGCCTCTGGAGTCACCCTCGTCTTCAGCCGAGACTGGCCCTGGAGATCGGTCCAACGTTAACATCCCAGACAAAACAAGACCACCACCCGAGATGATGGCGCGCGGGCTGACCCGAGATGAGGACGATGACTCGACAACCTCTGCCTCCGAAGCCGAAGGCGAGTCCCGAATGTTTGCCTCCCGAGGTTTTTTGGTATGACCCCATGGCAGAATACATCTTGATCCCAGTTCCCCGTGCGCACCCAAGTCACTAATCGCCAAACAGGGGAGAGAACGAGCCTCCACGAGCGGTGCCTTGTCACCTTCTACTTCCATGGATTCAATAAATGGCACATCTCCTAACCGGCGGAAAAGAAACGACGGGCGCCACAACGGCAAACAAGGCCCTTCACAGCCTCCGAATATGGCCTCGGCCACTTCCTTTACGAGCACAACATACAACCTGCCAACGACTGCAACTGTTCCGCGTTCCTTTTTCGACGACGGGTCTACACCCCCTTTGACGTGGAGCCTATTAGTTTCCAACATGAAACGTGCCATCGACCGATACCGCGAGGCAATTACGAAAAATCGCCGATCAGAATATGTTGCTAGGGCTGAAGACATCTCGGACCATTTGCGACTGCTTCTCGCGGCCGGTTCCGGTACAACAGACAATCACTCTGGCCAGCCGTCCATTATTTCTACCAACAAGGCGCTGTATCCCCATTTCCGAGACATGATGTCAAAGTTCTCAAAACTTGTTATTTCGTCACATATTGCTGCGGCGGATTGGCCAAACGCCGAGTCTGTACAAAAGTGCCTACAAGAAGCAGATGGGGTTCTCCTTGGGGTCTTCAGTTATGTTGAAGTAGCCCGACAACAACGCGGGGAAGAGATACCCCGCCTATTTCCTGGTTTCGTGATTGGCAGCACCGTCGGAGGTGGCTGGCAGAACAATGGTCTGGGGCCAAGAGATCCCATCACGGCCAATTTTCTGGAGGATGAAGAGGGCCTGGCAGAGCCGTCGGTATTTTTGAACAGAAGAATCCTCGAAAGATTAGACGAACAGAAACGAATCTTAGTGTCGAGCATTCGCGAGCTTGACAAGAGCCTGATCACACCCGAAAAGATTATAACGTCTCTCCGTCATGAGATTGTGGGGAATAATGTATGCTCTGCAGGCGGCAAGGTTGTCGAAATTTTCAAAATGTGGATCGCCATGATTGAGTCGATTGATCTTTCTCCGCTGGGAAACGGCTATCAGTCCCCCCAGTTGGGTGATTTTGGCATCAACAAGCAAAGCTTGTACGACAATATCGCGGACTTGATTCTTGGCTGTCAGGCGGTTGCTGGACCGTTGGCAGATGAGTGGAACGAAGTGTGGGGCGAATCTCTCGAAAACCGTCTGGAATACGTGCGCCAGTGTGCTAGAACTTTGGAGGCGAATTCATCTCACATTGTGTTCTCCTTGCAACTCCTTTCGGAGCAAGTTCAGGTAAACTCGCAGCTTCCACAGCACGCTGAATCTCGTACGCGAGAACACTCTGGCTCGCGAACCAAGTTACAACGGGCTGAGGCCACGCCGTATGAACGATCGCATCAGCGGTCGGATTCGAGATCTGCACTTAGCAGGCCACCCCTGATAACGGCGCAACCCCTTGGTGAAGGTGACCCGGCGGCCAGCAACTTCAGAAAAGGAGACTATTCCAAAGTCAAAAAGATCTTTGGAGAGGATCCTTCACCACAGGCCGGTATGCAGGCTGGCGACGATATTCCCGACTTCTTACGGCTTGATTATGAAAATGATGTGTCATGGGATACCAAGACCGCGTCGCCTACGGTGAAGGGAGGTTCTCTCCTAGCGTTAGTTGAACAGCTCACCCGCCACGATAAGTTAGACTCGAGTTTTAACAACACATTTCTTCTTACCTATCGGTCCTTTACCTCGGCGCGAGAGCTCTTCGAACTATTAGTTGCACGGTTTGGCATCCAGCCACCGGATGGTCTCAGCCAATCAGACTTCGAATCCTGGCGTGACAGAAAGCAAAAGCTGATTCGGTTTCGCGTCGTGAATATCCTCAAGAGCTGGTTTGACAATTTTTGGATGGAGGAGCACAACGATGAGTCGAGGGCGTTGATTCGCGACGTTTACACTTTTGCGAGAGACACCGTCAAATCCACAGAAACCCCAGGTTCGGGTCCTTTGATGGCTGTCCTGGACCAGCGGTTGAGTGGGAAAGAAGCCGGTGCTCGTCGAATGATTCAAACATTGAATCAAAGCACCCCAACACCCATTATTCCAAAAAATATGAAGAAATTGAAGTTTCTGGATGTTGACGTTACAGAGTTTGCTCGCCAGCTCACCATTATCGAGTCGAGGTTGTATGGCAAGATCAAGGCAGCAGAATGCCTAAACAAGACCTGGCAAAAGAAAGTTGCGGAAGGGGAACCCGACCTCGCGCCCAACGTCAAGGCATTGATTCTCCATTCCAATCAAATGACCAACTGGGTCGCGGAGATGATCCTTGCTCAGATGGACGTGAAGAAACGAGTTGTTGTGATCAAGCACTTCGTCGCCGTTGCCGATGTATGTTTGCCGGGCTATTTCCCATGCTCTCGAGTCGCTGCCTTTGGCCACCGTAGCAACTACTAACGCTAATAAATACAGAAATGCCGGAGTCTAAACAACTTCTCTACGCTGACTTCCATCATCTCAGCCCTTGGAACGGCGCCGATTGCTCGACTGAAGCGGACTTGGGATCAAGTGCCCCAGCGAACACAAGGAGTCCTGGAAAATATGCGTCGAATCATGGCTAGTACCAAGAATTTCGGCGAGTATCGTGAGGCGCTTCATGCAGCTAATCCGCCGTGTATCCCTTTCTTTGGTACGTGTAGAAATCAGATTGGATCTGGGGCTCTCACTAATGCCTTGGTCAGGTGTCTATCTAACCGACCTCACTTTCATTGAGGATGGTATTCCCTCCATAATCAAGAAGACGAACTTGATCAACTTTGCAAAGCGCGCAAAGACTGCAGAAGTAATCCGGGACATTCAACAATACCAAAATGTGGGATACTCTCTGCAGCCTGTCCCTGAGCTGCAAGATTATATGTTGAGTAATATGCAAGCTGCTGGAGATGTACATGAGATGTACGACAAGAGCTTGCATGTAGAGCCAAGGGAGCGAGAAGACGAAAAGATTGTGAGGTACGTGTATTGCCCAGCGGAACCACCCACCCAGCTGCCATGGTGTCTGGCATTGAAGACACTTCCTGGCACAGGTTTCGAGAAAATTTGATCAGTCTCGCCTACCAACCCATTCTTCGCACATCCTCCTGACGATTCTTCCTGTTTCAAAAATGAAAGGAAGAAACAAACTTGAAACAACTTATGAACATGTGGCTAACATATCCATTTCTCCTTCAACTTAGGGTCTTGGCTGAATCTGGATTTCTCTAAGTTTCGAGAACACGATGTGGTGGATTTAGCCTATGAACCGAATCTGTCAAATCCGAGCAACCGAAACTTTCAGCTGGCTACCTAGTTAACTAACCAAGATGAGTGGACAGAATCCGGCACACACATCATCTGCAGTACAACAGTGCTATCACAATGTGCACGAAACCCCTCACAGAGGTACTAGTCAAGCTGAGGAAGGTATTGCTAACAGCCGAATTGTTCCTTGATAGGGACAGCTAAGGCGCCTCATCTGTACCTGACCCTCAGTTGACTGTGCATCCCTCGTTTCGTTTTTATTCGATGTGACGGTGGCTAGGGCGCTTCATCATCCTGGCATAGTTGCAAGACTTTGACCAATTCATCTGCTCATCTACCTCACGAGGTACGGTCAGCGGCCAAATATTTGGACTATCAATGTCCACGTGTATCGAGATAAAGCGAGCAATACCTTTAGGGCCGGCACGGCTCCTTTCTGGCCCCGTTCTGATATTCAGAATTCACTGGTGAATGAGAAGATCAGACTAGAGCGCTATTTTCTATTGATGCGTCGCCATGGTTAGCGTTCTGTCGCAAAATGTTCTGAGATTTATGCTTATGAGCAGGCTGGACTGCATATTTGGTGAGAAAGCTACGCCTTCTTCTTCTTCTTTTTTTTTTTTAAAAAAAGAGAAAGAACTCTTGGTGAGGCAGGGCAAGCTGGCTTGTGGTTTTTGGAGCTTTTCGCGGCCGTCTTGAGTATTGCCGGCAATGAATGCGGCCGGCATGTTTAGATATGAGCAACGATTGTGGCGATAATATGGCAAACTAAAAACGCTGTACATAGGGTACTTGTAAACTCTGTTCATATACAGTCAATTTTCCGTGGCTACCGTGCATGTTGGGTTATCAGGTATGGAATTATTAAGGCGCGATGATTTCAGTTTTTCTTCTTTTAGCATTGAAAGTGTATAAAATGGAACAAAATCAAAGAGTAAAGTAAGCTAAAGAAAACCAGAAGAGATGCAGACGATGCAGACGATACTGATAAACACATGTTGGCGCCAGTATCACGCGGTATCCTGCGATGTCCGAACGATTTTATGCAACAACATGGTCCCGATCAGGACTTGTGCATATGCAGCTTGTCCTTGATCTTCTCCTTAAGGCTTGGCTTGTCGTCCTTGCTCCCGCTTCCAGACGCAGACGAAGAAGAGTCAGGCTTGGTGGGCTGGTCAGCGCCGCCCTCGTGGTCGACTCCTTTCTCCTGCATGAGACCTGGGAGCCGGGAATATGGTGTCAGCACGACGTGAATCCGGTAAAGCTCCACAGCATGGAAAATCGTGGCTTTCTTGTCTTCTTTTTCAATTTCCACAGATGGCTGGTCCGCGGGGACCGGGGAAACGACTTACGATCGGCCTCTCTTCCCGCTCCGGGGTTCACCGCGTCAAAGTTTCCGCCGTCTGCAGCGAGACCCGTTGTCTTGACGTACTTTTCGCCGGTGCCTTTGCTTTCAGAGCTCGGGTTCTCGTCGGCGTCAGCGGCATCGGCTTCAGCGGACGTAGATTTGGACCCGGCCCGGAGGTTGCCGGCGTCACCGCCGTTCTCTTTGGCAACGGCTGCCAGGGGTCTGGGACTGTCATGTGCCTCTGTGTTTTTCTCGTCGCGCTTTGGCGCCGAATTCTGTCTGGATTCACGGGCGGTGCTCCCTCCAGACTCTGTTGTCGTGCTGGGGGCCTCGGTGTCTTGCTTGGTGTCTTGCGTCTCTTTTGAGAACCTGCCTTCTTTTTGTGCTGTTGTGGACTCTGGGTCTGCTCTGTCCTGGTCTTTGGGGTCTGGAAACCGCGTCAGTTTAGAATAAGGGCTTCCCTTACGGTGAAGACGCTTGTGGGTTTGTCACGGGTGACGAGACGTACCGGCATTGCCGCCGTCGTATGGCTCGCCCTTTGACACGTCGCCTTGAACGCCGGAAATGGGCTCTTCATGTTCTGTACCATCTCCCCATACTGCCTTCACGGCACTTTGTGCTATGTTGCTAACGGTTTCCATGGCTGTGCCGCTTTTGTGAAGACGCTACGGAGAGAGAAAGAGGGGGAGAGAGAGATAGAGAGAGAGAGAGAGGGGCAAAAAGCCAGAGGTACTGATACGATAGATGCGCAAGTTTATGGATTCGGAACGTTGGGAAATGACGCGAGTCTAGCTTGCTGGGGGTCCCGTCGGGGGAGATCTAGTCTTCGGCTGTTGGCTGTGGATGACATTCTACTGATTCACACTAATCCCGTACAGCAGGACCAAGTTGTAAACGAGCCACAACCAGAACCAACGGTGGGGATTTCTGACGTCGTAGCAGTGCGGAATGGACGCGGACGGGGGCAGTTTATTGGCGCACCAGGGTCAGCAACAAATGGGTGGTAAGCATGATTATAACCAGAGATTGCTTTTGGGCTTGTGCTGGCGCTGCTGATTTGTGATCAGAGGTCGTGGGTGGCGAGCTGCCCGGGTGGGAAACGGGGTGCTTTTGGCCCGATGGCAGTCCCAGCACATCGATGGAGCGGTGGTTATTACGCTGATGTCGATCGGTGACGGATGACGGACGACGGACGACGGACGACGGACGACGGACGATGGACTTTCTCGGACGTCGGCAAGTCGGATAATCAAAGCACAACGTCGGCCTTGCATGCATGACGTAACTTATAATGATCTGGTTCCAGTCATCGCGCCGTTGCACAGCGGCTGGCGCCATGTGACCGACGAACTGGGTATGCGTGCCTGCAAGAAGCCTACTGCGCAGTCAGTCTGGTGTTGCATGTTGTGCCTTGGGCCTTGTGCTGTGAGAGACGTTGAGCTTGATTCATTCGTCCTCGGTACGGAGGACTGTTATCAACATTTGAGTCTGATGTTTTGGAGCTGCGTCACTGGCTGCTAGTCGGTGGAGAGGAGGGACGGACGAGCTGGGATATGCACGTGTACATATACATGCATAACTAATAACTACATAACTCCAAGTACGGAGCTTTTCGCACAGAGCTGCCGGTATACACAATGCTCAACTTGAGCAGAAGCAAGCAGTACCGATAATGAACCGCCCATTCTGTCTTGAGGATACAGAGTTCGGACAACATGTCGCTGCTGTCACGCGCTTCCGTCGTCGCCCCAACCATTCAACAGCCATTCAATTCAAATCGTTGCCCGCTCGTGGCGTCGGGTCTCCAAAATCACTGGTCCGCGGCGCCCTAAGCCTCGGACGTGGACACCATCCATCGTCCGCCCCGACGACGTTTGCGCCTAGGGACCTCGAGTCCGACCTTTCCACCCAGGGTCCTTCGTCTGTACACGCGGCGCCGTCTCAGCTCTGCGACCATGAATCCGAGTCCCGTGTGAAAAGGGCCTGCTTGCCTTCCTGGCAGCTCACCAGATACGACGTCGGCGCATGTACAATGTTGGCTTCTGCACTCCTCTGCCTGTCGAATACACCTCAAACTGACAAATTCCGTCATTACTCGCAAAGCCGAACACATCCAAACATCTTGCGACCCTAGGTAGAGTATGCGATTCCTGGGCCTCGTCTTCCCTACCCTCAGCCTTTGTCTCGCCGTCCGCAACATCTCCCCTCTGCCTCACCGTGGCGAGCCGTCAGGAGAGCAGACATGGACCCCAGTCTGGCATGGTCAAAGGCGGCCGCAGCAGCAACATGTCCTGATGACTCCTCCGTGTATGTTCATGCCAACAAATACCATCTTTGTTACACTTAGCTTACCCCTGAGGCGTGTGTCCAGTGGCCTCTGTGGAAGAACCCGATATCAAGTTTCCGCACAGCCCATTCCACCAAGCCTCTGGCTTCATTGCCCTTGGCGACTCCTACTCAGCGGGCATAGGCACCGGGTTCAACGGAACGGAAAATGACTGTCGTCAAGGTCTTCATGCTTACCCCGTTTTGATCCACGGAGATCTCAACCGCGCTCGTGGACGTCATGACACCGCCGCAGAGCTGCAGTTTCTGTCTTGTACGGGCTCCACGATCGGCGACATGCTCGCGGGAGCCGACCATAGTCAGATCGATGGCTTGAATGCTACGATGCATGCAGACTTTGCGCTCCTGTCTATTGGCGGCAATGACCTTGGCTTCTTCAACATCATGAACAGCTGCATCTTCCGCTTCTATAGCTTTTACTCGGGAACCTGCGAAGATGCTTTACGCAATTCTGAAGAAGCCCTCAACGGCCCCGAGTTTGAACATTACCTTCGACTGGCCATTATGGAAATTCTCGACCGTGTGCAATGGGAAAAGAGGCCCTCGTTTTCCATTACTGTCTCGGGCTACGCTCGCTTTTTCAACGAGGACACCCAAGATTGCGACCAACGATCGTTTGGAGTGTGGTGGCGTGGACCGAAACTGAAACGCAAGCTTCGCCGTAGGATGAACAGGATGGTTCTTTCGGTCAACGACAAGATTAAACGCTCAATCACCGCGATAAACGCCGATTTCACGGAGCCCAGGGTCATGTTTGTGGACTACGATGATGCTTTCGAAGGTCACCGGTTCTGCGAAGCCAATGTCACTGAACCAGATTACTCCAGAAATGAAACGTGGTTTTTTCTTGTTGGAGGCAAAGACAACCACCGTGGCTTCCAAAGTCAGCTGGCGGGACCCGACCAAGGCGAACTGCTTTCCCCCAGCTCACCACTGATAGATCCAGACACTTGCTTGGGACCTGCCCAGAAGTCAGGTGACTGGGGTGAGTTGGCGTTGTGCCTGATGGCCAAGGCTGCGAGAGAGGACTCTTCCCTTCGGACCAGCGAAGGAGCAATTGTTGCCCAAAACTCCATGTGGTATGTGCCTACATATTATGGCAAAACGTTTCATCCTGTAAGTGCCGCAAAAATACCCTCCCCTGATCTGATCTGGTCCCAGCAGTGCGCAGATGTCGTATTCCATCCTCCATAGTATGTGAGCTGATGCAAGTTTCTCTCATATACAGCGGACGTTGGGGCACATGGCAATTCGTAACCGCATTTACCGGCTCTGGAGCGGAATGAGCCAAGGTATTTAAATGTAGGTAGGTCCGACTTGATTTCTTCCTTTTTGCCTACTTTGCCTTGCAGAGATGTACACATCCTGCCAAAAGGCGTAACGAATAAGGACGGAAATATATACAAGGAACAAAATCTAGTAACGTGAAATGATGAATTGCCATCCAACATCATGACTCGGCGTATTGCGTACTTGAATATTCTATTATGGAAACTCCAAATTCCAACGTCATAGAAGATCGCGATTCAAGTAAAGCTACTATCCCCCCAATGTTCCGTTGACATGTCAGGGACAATCTGCTTCGCCCGCGCGGGGAGATGTCCAAAACTTGGGTCTAGCTTATGCCCTGTACAACAAACAACAACTTAACGAACTGCAAAGAGAATATTTTGGCACCTCGGTATATACTCTGTGCGGAGCGCATATTGACATCGGGTGGGTCACTGAGTCCGGGGGTGGGTGTCGGTCTATCGTTTTACCGCTTCCGGCCGGCCAGTCCCATGCGCCGCGCGACATCGTTGTTTAGGCTACCAGGTTGCTCATGTGTTGCCCGACATTCTGCGTTGTGCATCGTGCGTCGTGTGCATCGTGCATCACATCCCATGACTATTATATTTCTTTGTATCATTCGTAAGGCCTTGCGCCGTGGATGACACAGCCGCTGAATTATTGGGGGAAGTTGCCGATCAACCGCACTGTTAGGCGGCTGCTTGGTCACGACTCACGACGACGACCACGGCATCCACCGCCATGGCACCCGACGCTGAACCTCGCAAAGGCAAGCCAGGCTCGCCATCCAGATGGGTCCCGATAGCAGCTAATCCTTGCTCTCAGATGATCCAACCATCAAAGTCTCGTCGAAGAGGGAAAGCAAATCAGGTACCATTAAGCTGAAGAAGCCGCCTCCGAAGCACAGCAAGCCAGGCAACTGGAGGGACGGTAGTGTTGTCGAAGGTACGTTTCATCACATAACCACCACGTCATTGAACTGGCTCTAATGCGGCCATGTTAGATGAGAAAAAGAAAGCCGCGAACTCGCCCGCTACCTCTGTGGCCTCTCCTGGCCCGGTAGTGAATCAACTAGATGACAACGCCCGAGAGACGTTTGCAACAGGACGGCCCCTGGAAGATAGCCCGGACCTTCAACAATGCAAGCACTGCAAGAAGAGCATTTTAAAAACCGCTGCAAAGGCGCATATTGCGCAGTGTTTGAAGCTAAAGAAGGAGAAGGCGCAAAGGAAGAAGGAGGCCCGAGAGGCCCGAGAGAGGGCCAAGGAGGCCGCCAGAGAGGAAGAGGCTCGAAAAGCTGATGAAGAGAATGGAGACGATGACAGTGATGACGACGATAAAAAAGGAAATGTGGCAGGAAAAAAAGCAGGCAAGAAGCCCGAGGATGAGAAGAAAGGCGGCAAAAAGAGGAAAGCCGACGGCGAGCCCGACAAAGGGCCCAAGGCGAAAAAGAAGAAGGACGAGCCTAAAGCCAAGGTTCCGAAGCCCAAAGGTACGTACAGCTAAACTCACTATATTGGACGACGAGTATCATCAATCTGTTTGGCTGACGTGGAGATATCAGGGCCGGTTGATGTTGAGAGACAGTGCGGCGTGATATTGCCCAACGGTCAGCCGTGCGCTCGATCGCTTACGTGCAAAAGTCACTCGATGGGAGCAAAACGTGCTGTCGTGGGTCGTTCTCTTCCGTACGATATGCTGTTGGCGGCATACCAGAAGAAAAATCAAGCAAAACAGCAAAGTAAGCTATTCAACCCCTCAAGAAGCCTCGGCGAGTCCGTCCTCTGTCGGATGATGTCAAGTACTGACCACCCGTTTTTTGTCTCCTCACAGAGGCTGCCCTCGATGCGAATGCTCCCGTTGAGGATGACGACGACGCGAACGGACCTGTCGACTCTGATGAGGAAACCGGAGCCGTAATGAGCGCCTTGTCTCACTGGCATCCCCAACCGCTTATTCCACAACCTATTTTCACCCCAATTAAGCGACAATATCAGCTATCCAGACTTCATGAACAGTTGCAGCTGGCAACGAATGGAGGCCGCACCAACATTTTTCACGTGGTAGGATATGGGGCTCAAAAGCTGCCGGAAGGACACCCCGGGCTCGTTGAAGGAGAGGATGCACCGGGCGAGCCAGATCTGGGAGCCCTGGGCTTTCCTGGTACTGCCCGATCGTCGAATTTTGGTGCCGCAACCGTGTCACAGAGGCGGTCTTCCGTGACAAGCCGCGGCTGAAGTACGGCGGGCTGGGTCTTGATTCTGAGGAATCCTGAGTTGCCACGTCGCTCTCAATTCTTGGACTTGGCCTGACTTGACTACCTCGGTTACGTCGGCGCTTTTTATATTTAAAATATCCGGATGCTTTCACATAAGACCAGGAAGTCGAAGCACCAATTTGGAGGAATTCTCTCTTTTCGGGTTTATATTTTTTTTTATTTTTGGATGGACAAGTTTGGAGTGGCGCGGCTTGTTTCGGTTTCATTTCTGTTGTATATACCAACGGATGGCGTTTTGGCATGGAAGCACAATGGCCATTCCGGACCAGGAATTGGATGCGCGACTTGTTGCACTACGGGGAGGTATGGATATCGACAGAGTACAAACGGACATTAACAGAGAGAGGAGGGTATTCTGGCTCGGCGGAGTCATTGGCGGCCTGGTGTATTTGTAGTTGTAACAACACATGGGATGGATGATGGATGGACGCATATGGCATCGTGTAAAGATTGCACCCCAGACCAGAACTACATGATGCGACGGAGCGTGCATCATGGTGCTTGATACGGTCGCAACCATGTATATTTCCCGTGGCCGTCTTGGGTACGGCATTCGCGGTCCATCAACTACGGTGCCTTGAGCCGAGGCCGTCCGGCGCGGGACAACTGATCAGATTGCCGTCGTCACGCCAAGGGGGAACGTACCCACGCACTACGTACATGTAAGTTACATGACGTCATTGCGCGCGCGGGCACGATGGAGGACAACATCTGGCGTCTGACAGCCAACCTCGGTTCTCATGTTACAAAATTCCCCAAGCCGACACGGTCTCGTCTCGTCCAGACGGGAAAGTCTGTCTTGCGACGTAACGGAAGTGATAGTCGTAGCCTTTCGAGTTTCGACGCGACAGACACCGCAGACACTTTCCATTGGAATCGTCCACCCATTACAAGCTGCACCCTGCAACAGCCGCCTACCTTGGCAATTCTTTCTACCGATTCGCAATTTGTCCGGGCCAGAAGATGCCGTCCAACGCGGCACTCGACGCCCTGGGCCACGCTGTGTCTGGATCGATAGGCACGGGCGTCTCGACCGCCGCCGTTTTCCCGCTTGACCTTGTCACGACGCGATTGAAAGCCCAACGTCAGATGAAGAAGGGCTCGGAGCGCTACGATGGGGTGATTGACGGCCTAAAGGTGATTGCCTCGCGTGAAGGCGGCATCGCAGCTCTCTACAACGGGATGGGACTGGACATTGGTAAATCCTTGGTGGATAGCTTTCTCTTCTTTGGCTTCTACACCTATTTGCGCCAGCAGATTCGCCATCCACGCATAGTACAGGAGCTCGCCATGGGAGCGCTCGCCGGTGCCTGCTCCAGGGCCATCACGACCCCCATCTCCAACGTTGTCACCCGCATGCAGGTGCAGCCAGATACGGGGTCGCTGAGAAAGGCGCTCGCTGACATCAAGAAGGAGAGTGGTGTCCTCGGCCTGTGGTCCGGCTACTCTGCCACCCTCGTCCTCACCATGAACCCCAGCATGACATTCTTCATCAACCGCCGCCTTGCCAAGCGTATTATTCCTGCCCTGGAAGAGGAAGACGTGCCGGTGGCATGGGTTGACTTTCTTCTGGCGGCAATCAGCAAGTCGACTGCTACCGTTGTGACTTATCCATTTCAAACGGGACGAACTCGACTGCAGATGCCAGTCGATTTGGATCCCGCAGACCCGACAGATTGCGAAAAGGGACAAAAGACAAGGCCGCCGGCTCGAAATGAAAAGTCTATCATTTCTCGAATCCGCAGCGCGCTCGATCAGACCGTATTTGGTATCATAATCCGAATCATCACGCGCGAGGGTCTGCGCGCGCTCTATGACGGACTCCCGGGAGAACTCCTCAAAGGCTTCCTGAGCCACGGCCTGACCATGGTGACGAAAGGGCTCATCCATCGCCTTGTCATCCGGTTGTGGATTCTCTCACACCCGCGGCTGCGTAAACAGCTACAGTAGAAGCAAGGGACCTGGCATGACTCCCTGATGCACGCCGGAAACGCCCAAATCTCCTCTTGTAGCAAGACAGCCGTTGGCCAAGCCGCCCGTCGATGCCAACGCGCAATTTGTCGGTGCTAGTTCCTCAGACTTTAACATTGAAATGCCACTCCAGATCGCTCGACAGTGTTGGAGCCTCGGGCAGAAAAGCCTGTGCCCTCCGACTTCAACAGGACCAATCCAGCTGGCAGTTTGCTAGTTGATGGTTCATGCTTTGCAGACTTGCCGACTATGGGCGACTCGCATACATAGCACATGAGAGGCACGTCTTCCGCGGTAACTTCTTTGCGTGAGGGCACCAGAAACTTCTTGACGCAGCTGAGGCACAAAACATGGCCACATTGCTTGGCCATCACGGGGCTTGAGGAGTTGGATAGTGTTTTGAGACATGAGGGACATGTCCAAACGCCGCCCTTTGCGGACTGGTCTCGACCTTGTTGAAATTGTATAGTAACTAGCTTTTGCATTGAGATGGCGTGAGGTTTGTCGTCCGTCGACGCAGGGCATGTCGGTGCGGTCTTGGTTGCCTTGTTTTCTGAAGGCAGTTTACTGTCCAGAACGTCTGGTGTAAGAGACGGTGTCCAGAACGAAGGAAGTGACGGCTTGGCGGCCTATGCAAGAAATAAAGAGAGGAGAGAAGGAGAGAAATCAGCTACTGTCTGTCCATGGACACGGCGGAATATAGCGTGTATAGAATTTGAACTGGGGGAATAAAAAAATTACCCGTTCATCCTCAATGGCCCTCCTAGCTTTCACCTTGTCTTCCTTCGCTATACGTATCAACTCATTTTCATCGAGGGTGAATTTGCGTTTGGCGCCAGCACGGGCCGAATGTGCTTCGTGATCCCACGAGTTGTCTTGGTTCGGAAGAATGGCTCTCTTCTTGGAGTCAGGGAGTCCTGCCTGGGTCAACTCAAAGTCAAGGACGGCCCTTTTTTGATCCTCATCATCGTCGGCAGCCTTTGCACGAAGCGCCTCATGCTCGGCCTCGCGACGGGCTTTCTCGGCTCTCTTGAGCTCCCTTTTCTGTGCCAACAGATTGGCCAAGATGCATTCGCGACAGAAAATGTCGCCTAGCCGGCAGGCAACTGGGTCCCGAGCAATTTCTAAGCAAAGGCCACAGGACCCGAAGGGCAGAAAGGAATCGCGATTCAGGCGAGCGGAACTGGAGGACCAGTTGGCCTTGGCGAGAAGTCGCTCGTGGGAGGTGAAGACGGCACGAGAGGTGTTCCGTTTGCCTGAGGCAATTAGCTTTCACATCATCGCGTGCTATTTCATGCACGTATATGGGAGCACAAATCCAGGTCGTCTTACTGTGTGACATGTTGGGAGGCGTGAAGGACGCTTCCAAAGGTAGAAAGCAAGGCACAGCTACACGCGACCGAGCAGCTGCCAGGGAAGAGATGATCTGAATGGGCTGACTCGAGATGTTCACAAGAGGTCAATCTTGAAGGCTACCGACTCCCTAGCTGGACGATTCACTGGATTTGCTGGGGTCGACTTGTGCGTAGCTTTCCAGATGATGTTTCAAGCAAGCATGCGGGAACCAACTGGAGGTGCACCAGACACACGGTTGTCATGTCATGTGGTCGACAGCGGCTACTAACTAGTTACTTACTTAAGTACTGAGTAAGTGCTTGAGCAGGCCGCTGAAGATTCCGTGTAGTAGATGGAGTGCGCTGTACGTTGTTGGCATTGCCCGCCATGGCCCCTGACGCGGCCCCTAGCACCGTGATTTAGTTGGTGACTTCAGCGTTCCGCCACCACCGTCGCCCAGGTGTGTCTGTCCATGCCCACCTTGCGCTAACATCGAAATTTCATCGTCACACCCGTTGAATCAGCTTGGAATCGTCAAATTATATCATGCCTAGCCCGGCCCCGGCCACACGCAAGAGTCTGCCATGGCGCCTTGGCTCGATGGCTGTCATGGGCACTGTGGCCATCCTGTCCCGAGGCTTCTTATACGGACTCAACAATGTCGAGGTAATCGGACTGGGCCATTTGCTCGGAACTCTGGATCGTCGACGGACTCGGGGCCGGGAACGAGGTCTCTTGACAGTATGCAATCATGTGGCCGTGTAAGTTGGAAGCAATCACGCCCATCACAGTGTCGTCAGTGTATCTGGCCATCTGATGGCGTGCCATTTCTGTTGATTCCGGCCATCTTTCATCCGCTAACACCAGGCGCATGCAGTCTCGATGACCCTCTCATATGGGGAATTCTGCCTTTACGTTATACCCTCAATCCTGAAAATCTGCGCTGGGGGCTGGGCGCCCATGACATCTGCTTTAAAAACAAGTCAGTCGGAAACCCCCCCCAAAAAAGTGTATTAATTCGCGAGTGGATGTTGCTGTTTCATTCCACTTACAGGCCGTTATTCATGGGCCCGAATCTCTTATTGACCCAACGATTTCTCTTATCTCAGGCTCTCCTCAACCTTCTTTAGCCTTGGTCAAGTTCTACCTACCCGTCGGCTATGGCACTCACCGCTCGGTGGCTTGTTTCAACCCACAATGGCCCAGGCGATTGGACTCCTGTCAGGCTACAGCCAAGGAATGGCCTCCAAAGGCCTGTCCTTTTCTACGGACGGAAAAGACTCGTTTACTTCCCCGGCGGCATACAAAGCAAATACAAGTTCTTGGGTCCACGTATTCCCAGAAGCCTGTTGCCACCAGAGTCAGGAGAGCGGCTTGCGCTACTTCAAATGGGGCATATCGCGGCTCATCCTCGAAAGTGACCCGGCTCCAGAATTCATCCCAATGTTTATTCATGGCACTCAAGATATAATGCCAGAGGACAGGGGTTTCCCCAGGTTCCTGCCTCGCATAGGCAACAAGATACGCGTTGTCATCGGAGAACCAGCCCGTGTCGACACCGTATTTGGTCGCCAACGCGCAAAATGGAAGCAGCTCGTGGACAAGGGTGATCCAGACCTTCTCACTCACGGCCGTGAGGTTGTTCAGCTGAGAATCCAGGTCGCAAAGTTGGTACGAGACGAGGTTGCGAAACTGCGAGAAAGCATAGGCTTGCCGCCTGAGCAAGACGAAACAGCCGCGCTGGCCGAGACTTGGTCCAAAGAGCCCAACAAACGAAAGTTCAAAAGCCCAGTTGATGGCAGCCTTGTCAATAGAGTCTAATAAGCATGGGCAGACCTCAGACTTGAACAATCCGGAATCGGGTCTAGCAAAGATTGAGGCACCCAAATGTACGAGTAGCACCATTGATCGCTTTTTGAAGAGATCTTGAGAAATAATAAACAACGCAAGGTGATTTCCGTTGTACCACTGGCTTACTAGGTTGTATTGATTCCCAATCTCTCGTGACTGTGACATTACTCAATGATGATGCAAGGCTCAGAATACACGCTGTGACCCGCAAGCAAAAACAAAAAAGGGAAGAAAGACGTAAAGCGCATGCCATGTCCAAGTCTAGTATAAACGAAAGCAAAGCTTTAATGCCCAAAACACCGTCATAACCCCTGTTTACAACCCTCAGGATTGCTGAGACAGAGCAAATCTCTCATTCTCTCAAGATCCTGTCTTAAACAAACGAAGTAGCCCCGCATACTAAAAAAAAATCCCCAAGGTCCGCACAAAGGACTTTGGCGATAACTGGCCCAGAAATCAGGATGTCGTCCAAGCTTCAAGGAGCAAAATTTGCTGCATTCTAGTAAGCATCATAATTCTGCGCTGGCACTCCTTGTTGGTAGGCCCTTGCCTGGGCGTGCAGTGCCTGCTGCTGGTGTTGGTGTTGTTGGTGCATGACCAAATCGCTGAACCAAGGATGCTGAAGAGCGTCATGGGCACTGATTCGTAACTCGGGACGCAGCTGCAGCATACGCTGCAACAGGTCGATGCCTGACGGGTCTATGGCGTGGAGAATGTTGCGAAGATCCTGGGTGGCATACATTTGAAATGTAGGCTTATATTCCGGGAACTGTGTGATGCCAGGCCAGGTGCGCTCCGTGGGGGTGCCCATAATGCGGAATATCCTGATAATCTGGTCCTCGTTGGTGGTTCCTGGGAAAAGAGGCCGACCAGTATACATCTCAGCCATGATACAACCTGCAGACCAGATGTCGATGCTGGTATTGTACGTCCTGCTGCCAAGCAAGACGTCGGGAGCGCGATACCACAGGGTGACGACTTCGTTGGAAAAGGTATTGACGGGAATGCCGAACGCACGTGCCAGGCCAAAATCCCCGAGCTTCAACAGCCCTTTGCTGTTGATGAGGAGGTTTTGAGGCTTCAAGTCACGGTGTAAAACTCGATTCTGGTGGCAAAAATCGATGCCTTTTAGGAGCTGGTACATGAAACTCTTGATAGTGGCCGGTTTGAGAGCGCATCGCTCGCCATGTGTGTCCATGTATCTTTTGAGATCCCCGTCCATGTATTCGAAGACAAGCATGAGCTTGTTCTCGGTGTGGATGACGTCGTGGAGGGCAACGATGTTCTCATGTTTAAGCTCCTTCATTAGAGATATCTCTCGGATTGCGGTGGACGGCGTCCCCTCCTCAGAGTCGAGATGTATTTCCTTCAGGGCGACGAGTTCTCCAGTTTGCCTATTTCTGCCTTTAAATACCTGGTTCCAAAGCGTCAGTCAGTAGGATCGTCCACTAGCTGATTCATACTCGCGAGGGTGAATGGCGGGGGTGTAGCGGGCATACGAACAGTAGCATAGGTGCCTTCACCCAGCTTCTCCAGCTGCTGGAAGGAGCTGGGAAGCCTTTTACCATCCATGCTGCCAAGCTTTCAGCGCTGTAAAAAGATGGCCCCGAACTTGGCCTTGGATTCTAGGGAGAAATGTGAGGTCGGTCGTCGTGGCTCGTCGTCAACGTAGTTACCATGCAAGACGGCTCTTGACTCGGGGTTGGTCGGGCATTGGCACGGGATGCAGGGATTTGCTGGCAAGTCCGGCGACCTTCAAAGGGAGGGGCCAACACCCCGCAAAGCCGATATACTTTGCATACTGAGATATATAATTTGCGCCGCCGCAATGACATGCTCTTAGTGAAGACTGGATCCCTTAAAGAGGGGGCTCGGTTAACATGTAGGTACCTACCTAGGTTAACTGGACACCGTGCTATTCTTATCACTTGATCACGCAGTCCGTGCATGGGCACCTACCTACTAGGTGCCTAGGTAGGTACCTCGGTACTCAAGTAGATACGGATGGTCCACTGGTGATGCCGTCAGCCACAATCGGCCATCGAGGGGCGGAGGCATGCCTTCATGCCTTCCATGTTCCAGTGTTTCTACTCAAGTCTGGCCTGCTATTATATTTGTCAACACCAAAGACAGGTCAACTCCTGCGGTTCCAAGCCTCTGATGGACACTGGCTTGACTTTACCCGCGCTGTCCAGTAAGTTCCAAGGTCGCCGAGTAGATTCGCCGGGCCATACCGCCGCCGTCCGAAGTTACGGCCTGCACAACATCGAGCCTCGAGATCCGACTTCGAAGTTCTGTCCCTCGAATCGAACGGTCCGGTCTCATTCATGCTGAAGGGCTATACGGACAGGCCCTGTGCGGCATTTCAGCAGCTCGTTTGGAAAGATGAGGCCTCTACCATCCCCTGTCACCAACCCGCCAAGCCGAGATCAGAACCATGATAACTGCGATGCACTCTCTCAGCCAACACCAGGAGCCACACTGGATTGCTTTATTACCACAGAATCTTGCTTAGCGGACGAGACTTCAGCTCGGGGACGGGTTGAAATCGTTTCGACTGCCCAAAATCAAACATGTAAACTATCTGCCGACCACAATATGCACGGGTCTGATTGTCCTTGGCTGTTGTCCAGGCCCGGCCCGACTTCACCATCTGCGGTATCGTCAAATGCCGAGCAAGGCAGAACGCTGCCTCCGACGTCAGTATTTGCCAGTAGCTATGGCCCGGATTCGGCAAACAGCGTTCCTTCGTCGCCTGGATACCTATCAAGCGTCGCCATGTCAGAAGACCCTCACAGCCTATCCGCCAGCCTCTCTGAACTACCCCAAAGCTGCTCACCAGTCACGGGCACTGGTCCGATTTTGCCTAGAGCCCTCACGCCCCAGCTTGTGATGCCTAGCTTGACCGTTCCTCAACGTCGCCCCTTTTCGGAAACCGGTAGATCGCTGGGGAAACTGAAGGTCCTTGTGACGGGACGACGCGGTAGGTCCCCATAGGCTGTGGGAAAGGTCGCAGCGCCAAGTTAACGCAAGACGCAGGCATCGGAAAAACATCTCTCATCCTTGCTATTGCCCAACTATCCGCACACATTGTTCATATGGATACGATCGTCGCAGCGCCGAAGAACATGGCCAATGATGTGTATGCAAGCACTCGTCCAAAGCCCTGGTGGAGAACAGATCCAGATCGCGACCTTCCTAGGAGAAGGCGGTCGTCAACTTTAGACGGAGTTTTGGATAGAAACATTTGTTTTGTGGACTGCCCAGTCTACGGAGATGATATTCAGGTACACAGTGCGCCTTCGTTTGCTTAGAAGCATCGTCTAATGTGTCCAGGGATCATCGCCTGCTGTTGATTACGTCGAGTCTCGGCTAGCTCATTTAGCCAACAAGCTGATGGACGACCCGGATCTCTGTGCCCTCCTCAGTGGAGGGGCAGAGCCGAACGTTGATGTGGTACTCTATCTACTCCCACCCTCGGGTATGTATTCATTGCATCTGCTTCTCGTCGATTTATCTCCTTTGAGCTAAAAGCCGCGACAGGCCCCACATCCGACGATATACGGTGCATGAGAGATTTACAAGATGCAACAAATGTCGTTCCACTGCTGGCGCGTGCTGATGAACTCTCCACTGAAGAACGTCTGTTAGCGAAGAAACAAACTCTGCGAGATCTCGATGCCGCAGGTCTTGATTGTTTCTTCTTCGCTGCCCCTGGGGAAGACCGCGATCATTCTCGTATTCATGCAATATCCAGCGCGACTCAAGTAGACCCAGACGTCATCGACGCCAGTATTCTCATGAGTTCGGAATATCTGCCACCCTTTGTCGCGACCGACCTCGGAAACCTTGTCAAGGATTTGCTATCAGTCGAAGGGAGCACTTGGCTTCGCCATTCTGCAGCCTGCAAGGCCATCAAGTGGATGCGACAACAAAGACACCAAGGCGGCCTGCTGCCATCCGCGCTTGCATGCACGAGGAGGTCTTCTTTGTTTGGCCTTGCTCAAGTACGATATACAAGTCAGCATCCGAATCAACAAGGCCGAGGCCGCATTGAAATAGCAAACTGGGCCGAGGAGCTACGACAGAGTCTAGTCACAGAGAGATTGCGGCAACAACTTGCACAGACCATGTCTCTTACTCGAGGACAGCTGGCTATGACGAGGCGTAGTCGATCATCTTTCAAGTCTTCACGGACTAGGGCTCCTTCAGCGTCTACGAGCCATCAAGATCCTCTAGGTCTCTTAGAGATAGTGGGTCAATTACAGACCGCCGGCAAGTTGACGATGGAATTAATCAGCAGCTTCGGGGTACTTGGTTGTGTCGCAGCTTGGGTCATTCGGCCGGAGCTAACTCATCAATGGGATATCAAATTTCCCCCTTGCTTGAGTTTGGTTTGAACCATCGGATATCGACTAGCTAACGGTCTTGGGGCCTGGTTTGCGAACTGCTGCGGCGTTGAAACGTCCTCGGCGCAGCCACCTCCCGTTTGAACAACGGCCATGTTAGGAGGTTATGACTTCCACGTACCCATATGTGATACACTTAACGCCCCGGAGGGCAATGATTTTGAACGCAACATACTGCAGCTGTGTCAAGATGTTGGTAGTTGGAAAAAACATTTATATATAATCAATTTCGTGATTTCAATGGGTCCAGCATAAATTAGATGGTGAGAGTGCGCAACGAAAAGCTGCAACACAGATGATCAAGGGTTGCCGAGCGCTTCGAGAGCTGCGTTAAAATCAGGCAGGTCATCGGCAGTCTTGGAGATGTGCTGCCAACGCACGGTTCCGGCCTCGTCTACGGCAAACGCTCCGCTCTTTTGCCATCGACTTCCACTCTCAGTAGGGCGGTTCCAGATGCCTTCATCGGTTCCTAGGCGATAGACAGAGTACAAAGCCATGGGGTTGAACGCATGCCATGTGTTGGATAGTCCAAGCCCCCATTTCGCATAGAGATCGCGACCTTGGTCGATAATTACGTCGGTCTGCCAAGCACCCCCGACTTGGGGTATCCAACGCTCGGTTGCATCAGGTGAAGAGTGTGACACTGCAATGCAGTGGATATCTCTGCGCTTTTCTGACACTGCCGTCAATGCTTTGAAGGTTTTCTCTGCGACTGCAGGGTTCTAGTCAGCCGTACGTCTCAGATGATCTACTTGCAAAAATGCGGTCCATCTTCCACTGGATATTTTCCACGGGAGAGTGGCTAATTCCCGCAGCTTTGCAGCGCTTGACATCCGCGTGTGTAGAGACGAAGCGTCTGACAACAGACGACTTTGTGGATGAAAAGGGGTGCTCACAGGGACAGCCGCAGTGACGCAGGAAAAGGATCAATGTCTTCTTTCCTTCTGGTAGAACAAGCTCGGGTGCAGTCGGTGCTTTCGTACCGACCCTTGGTTCTGGCGCGACGTCTTTGGTTTCTGGCGATTTCAGAGATTCTATTTCGGCCCAGAACCCAGATTTGCTTGCAGCCGGTTGGGGAGCATGTTGCTGGGCCTGGCCGGCCATGTTTGCCAGGCTAGACAGCAACTTTCCTTTTTTCTTTTTCTTTTTCTTTTTTAATTTCGAAGAGGTTGGTGGTAAAGTCTTGTCACCGACGATGCCTTTGTTGACCTATGTTTCTGCCAATGATCTGCGTGTCACCTAGCATCTTTGTAAAGTAAGATGATAACCGGTTGAACCCTCGACCCGATTGATGACGACATGCCAGAAGGCTTGGCGCTCTCCGACGGGCATTAGGTAATCGCGCTCGGAGGCTACCCTGCATCAACCATTTCTGTTTCGAAATTTCCACGATGCAAGCAAGCACACACCATTCGACCGGTTGGTGGGTGTAGGCCAGCACCACCAAGCTCCCGATACTAAATTAATAATCCCGTATGCCCTTTCTCGCCAAGAAAGGTGTGTCTGGATGTTGATTCACGTATTTGTTTCGCCCGTGCCTCGTATTGGTCTGCTAATTAGCGCCTTGTGATAGAGCCCAGCATTCGTCGTCGCTGATATTTGGCGTGATGCATGAGATCATCACCCTACAGTTGGGCAATCTCAGTAACTACACTGCCACCCACTTCTGGAACGCACAAGAGTCCTACTTCACGTATGCTGGGGAAGAAGAGCCATTGGTGGATCACGATGTTCACTGGAGAGTAGGCATAGGAGCAGATGGCGTCGAAACGTTCCTCCCTCGAACTGTACTTTACGACCTCAAGGGCGGTTTCGGCTCTTTGCGGAAAATCAACTCACTGTACGATGCAGGCACAGACGCGGTTGCGGCAGCCGAGTCCATATGGTAAGAACGAGAGAGAAAAAGAAACAACGTGGCGGTGCTATGAGACAGTCCATGGGCTCCCCAAGAGTTTAAACGCCGTCCATTCGCTTACTCGCGCGGTGTGTCGCAATTTTTAGGACGGGACCGTCGACTGTACACCAGCAGAAGCCGGTAAGGCCGAGTGCGTATCAAGAGAGTCTTGATTCGGGAACGAAACACTCACCACTTACAACCTCGTCTGTAAGGTACTGGTCCGACTTTTCCAGGGCGTATTTTCACCCAAGGTCGCTCGTGCAGCTATATGACTTTGAGCTAGATTCGGCAATACGTCCATTTGAGAGGTTCGACATGGGGACGGAACTGTTCACGTCACTGGACAAAGAACACGATATTCTCGACAGAGACTGGCGATCCTTTAGTGAAGAGTGTGATCTTATGCAAGGCATCCAGGCCTTTACTACCATTGACGATGCATGGGGAGGATTTGCGTCGTCATATCTGGAGGCACTGCGAGACGAGTACCCGAAAACCTGTATCTGGGTTTGGGGCATTCAAAGCCCGTTGCTGGATATCTCCAGAGAGAAGCGTCAGCTGCGCTTATCAAACACGGCACAAAGCCTCCAGCAGGCCTCTACGCAGGCATCTATGGTTGTGCCTTTGGCCCTGCCCGAGAGCCAACTACGCCCACACATAGGCTTGGATTGCCATTCCTCGTGGCACGTTTCATCACTACTTGCTGCCATTTGCGAGAGCGCCCTGATCCCGTCCCGCCTAAAGGGATATCATGGCGCCTCCCTGGCTGACACGGCGGAGACCCTCAACTCCAGCGGCAACCGGACCATTGTTAGCGCAGTAATGTCCATCCCGGCAGAACAGAGTGGCGGCGTGGATATGGGTGACACCTTGAGCTTTTTCCAAGTCGGGCAGGATAGCAGCAAAGTTAAGCACCGGCCAGAGCGGATCTTTGGACAAGTCATGTGCCATCGTGGCCCGAACACAGAACAAACGGAGCCCGAGAGGACGGCGGACAGCAGGCGACGCCAAGTGATTGGCAATCCTGTGACTAGAAAGTACGAAACCTCGCATCCTTGATTGACAAGCCTTTTTGTTGGGAAAAAGCTGACTCGATACTCCAGCCATTTCACCGAGTTGCAATTCCCTCTGCTGGACAGTTACCCACATATATACAGAGGTGTAATGGATAGGCAGAGTATACCCGTCCGCACTGTTCTCAAGACCAATACATCAATTTCGACTCGACTGAAAGGCCTGAGGTCCCAAGGAACTCGACTCGTCCCATTAGAAGAGCGTGAAGCACTGAGTCACGGCCTCGCCGAAATTGCTGATGCCTATCGAGATGGCTGGTCAAGTGGCAGTGATGAGGACGAGGACGAGTTGTAACTTCACCGTGGCAACCAAAACGGCTAGCAGTGGAAAGGGGGCCGGCTCAAATGCCAAGCTTGTTATTCATAGTTGAGCGCAGTCACAGAGTCAAAAAATGGGCTCTATATACAGCTCTATTCCTAGAGAGCCCCAGCACACATAGCTTTTGATCTAGCTAGTCCACGCCTCGTGAGGGCTGAAGCGAAACGTCACAACTCCAACTACATAGGGCCAGTGTAATCCCCAGAATTACTTCCATAGTTTTATCGACACCCAAGTGCTCACCGTGGCTTGGTAATGCATTTTGTGCTGCTGACTGCTGACCCTTTCGTTCTCGTGTGCTGGTCGTTGTCGTACAGCGGAAGCTCATTTCAAGACGGGATGTAGTATCTAGCAGCTACCTGAGGAACCTAGGGGGAGTCGACGCCTAGAAACAAAGCCTGCAAGCTCTGGTAGTTTATGCACGTCAGCAGATTGAATCAAAGTAGGGTTCCTGCCGGGACCGAGGATTGCCCATCAAACCCTTTCTGAGGTTCATTTTGGTTGGCTGGCGAGCTGGCTCGATTGCTTTCCGTCGCCAACTCTTTGAATGACGCCGTAAACGGAGTGCTGTAAATCTGCTGATGCACTCAACCTGCAGCGGCAACGGAAGCCTGCTGTCGTTTCGCTGGAGGCGGGTTGTCCTAACGACGAGTGAGCTCAGGACTTCGGTCTTTGCAACTGCCGCGGTGATAGTAATTACCTCTGAGGCGCCACGCTTCTTCGATGCTACCTTGGCGCCCTTCTTTTGCGGCCTCTTCTCTCCGGCTTCAAACACATCACCGGGAAGATTGAAACTTTTAAAGAAAAGGTCTCAGTACGGTAACCAAACCTTTAATGTCCGCAGGTCGAACAACTTACTTTCGGACGTGTTGTACGCCAATAGAAACAAGTGGCTTCAATTCATCTTGATACTTCTGCCACTGCGTACACAGGACTTTAAACTCGTCGACTTGGTAGGAGAGATCAAGAGACTTGGCGGCTGCCATTCCGTCAGATACGGTACAGATAGGCTTGGGCGACAAGATAGTAGCATAATGAAAACAGGATCGCCACTACGGTAGTCACCTTTGCATTCTAGCCGTGTCGGCTAAAGGATGAGACTTACCTTCGTCCAGTTCCAATCCGATGTAATGGGTAGTGGTCAAGACCTCGGTTGGTCGTTTGGATTCTGTGTCGCCATTTTCAGTCGCCTTTTGCTTGGCTTCTTCGGACCCGAGCTTCGCCTTCGTTTGGCAGATTTCACCATCCTTGATCAAGAAATCGAGACTCCCATCTTGTACCTGTGCTATTTCAGAATCATCCTTACATTTATGTCGACGCTCATATCCCTTGTTGAAAGCATGAGCCAAAGCGATGGACGGATGCTGCTCCAATTTCTGTACTAGCATGCGCACTTTAGATTCAACATATCCTGACCAAACATTATGGGCTTCCTTGGACTTGCTGGCAGATATGACAGAAATGTAATACTTGTAATCCGAGGTGAAGAAAGTATGTTTGACGAAAAGATCGCTCCAGGGTTGCTTGCCGACCATGATGCTCTCCGAAATCTCTAGGCCTCTCCGGAGTTCTCGATTAATAATTGACATAGAAGAGCGGCTAATATTAAATGTGGCACACATGGAGGGGTATGCAGGAGTAATGATGGGCATCAGGTGGAATGAATCGCCTTTATAAATCTTGAGAAATCCAAGTTAGTTTTCCAGCAATGTCTAATTTTTTGGTATGGCTTTCGTTTCTTGGCAGGAGTGGGATTGAGAAGTATTCAAACATGCATACCTTTGGGTTCCAAACGCGAACTGGCAGAGGACCGCTCTCGATGGGCTTGAGCAAGACAGGTTGCGGCCACCGCCAGTGACCAATGATCAAAAAAAATTTGTTGACTATTACAGACGTCGCAGCCTTTGGGTATAGTTGGCAAACCCGGGCAACCAACATGGCCCAGGCAACACCACCGGGGAAACCCATGATGTTGCCGTACACTGCACGGCGCTGGGCCCACAACTTGATGGCTCGCAAAGCAAGCTTGAATGTGCTCTGCTCGGGCACTAGTGTCAGAATTTCATCTGTCACACGCGTGCCATTAAGAGAGCGGAGCTCTGCCTCGTCGAGACCTCGAAGTAGACCAGAGTCTTTGAGGTCTTGAAAGTCGGGGGCGAGCTGTTTCTGAATGATGCGCGAGAAGATCAAGTCGATACTTATACCGGAATATTCAAATTTGATAATGGGCACAAATGCATCAGTGACGGCGGCCAAATCCGTAATGGCGCCCTTGGGAGCCATGGCCTCCAACAAGTCAGGGAAGTACTTGAAATAGTCATCCCGCGTCACGTATTTGGGAGCGACGATGAGTGTATCGATATCGGAACCGGGGCCAAAGACGCCGAGACGGAAGCTGCCATAGGTAAACACCTTGCCACGAGCGTTCTTTATGAGGGCATCGTTTTTGGGCTCTTTCTCTCGAGCGACACGCTTGACAAACTCGTCGCAGATGGCTTGCAACGATTCGAGGACCTTGTACCTACGAGCAGGGAAGAATTAGAAACTCAAAACATCTCAATTTCGACAGGGGCAAGGGGAAGCTTTGAGAGCTGGCTTGGGTTGTCCTGATGCAGCGCACCTCTTTTGGGTATCGGAAGGAGTTTCAAACGTCCTTTGCCGCCGTAATTCCTCGATGAGGGCATCGCTTGCACGCTTTTCGGCCTCGGTAGGCAGCCCTACAGACATGGGCGGCGTCACGCCAAAGACCTGGTCGCTCGGCATGATAAAAGGGTTTGAGTGTCGGGTGGAATACTTGCAACGACTTTGCCGGCGCGATCACGCCGTACCGGGGTATCGAAGGGGTGCAGAGTGCGAGACGGAGGAATTGGGGCGATACCTCTATGCGTAAAGCATGCCAAATGTCCCGATAGTCTGCCTTGATGCGCAACAGATGCCGCTGAATGTATGAAAAAAGGGTTACGGGGAGGGAGAGGCTGAAAGAAGGAAGAGAGAGGGAGAAAGGTTGGAGGCTATGGTCGGAAGGCTGAAGCTGGGAATTGTGCGCCTGGTCAGGCTGCTGGAGAACCAGGACAAAGCCGAAGGTGATTGGAGCGTGCGGCCCAGGGGAGAATGATTTTCCCCTCCAGAGGTCGACCAACTAACTTATTATTTACCAAGGTGAGGAATGCTTGAGTGCTCACCATATTTTCTCAAACCATGAATGACTACTCAACTTAAGTAAGTAGATACCTTACACCACTGTAGGTACTTGAGGTTGTAAACTGCAGCGGGCATGCACCGTCGTCAGTGGACTCTGCATCGCGCACACCAGGGGGATTTCTGTTTACTTGGTTACTCTGTGATCCGCAGTACACATCTACCTACCTAGGTACCTACATCCTTAAGTACTTAAGAAGTAGGTAGTGGTACGGAGTACCTAATAGCCCGCGTATGGGCATTCTCAGGACGGTCCCCAGCTTCATCAGCTGTTGCAGGACAGCTCATCAGACTCTCGAACAGCTCACGACAATTTTTGACCTGTCTTGTGATGGTTCTGCTGTCCTTGGAAACAGGGACCGCGCGCGTATAGGTACCTGAAATACCTGGTAGTGAGGCCTGCGCATGTCATGGATAGTCACTAGAACCCATCCCGGTAGGCACTTGGGTCAAGTACAAAGTAAGTACTTATGCACTCGTGCTTTCTCTCTCGGCGACATCAACGTGATGTGCCAACCTAAAAGTGTTGCGGCTGTCGTGCTACTCCGCTGTAATAAATGTCAGTCAGCTGCCACGTATTCGGTAACTACTCCGGACACACTCCGTAGTCCCTGCACACTTCAGTACTCTGTACCTACATGGGAACCCAAACCCAACCATCGAGACGAGGGACTACTGAGTGCTCCACCTACGAATGGATACGACTCCCATTCGTTGTCTCACAGCCACACACTGCATGTTCCCAGAGATTAGTGGCCAAAAGTCAACCATCATCCCTGGAAGCGGAAGGCACCACCCAAAACGCGAACGCGCGCTTCTTGCCCGCGTGCAAGGTTAGCCGGCACTTTAATTAATTCATCCAACTGAAGCTCACCAATTTGCACCAGACCTTTCGCCCTTCTCCCCAACGTCGGACGAGCACGTAATACGTCTTCGTGCCCTCATCGGTCCTACGCTCCTTGTCCCTTCAATGTTGTTTCAGTTTCCCTGGTACTACTGACACGGACCTCCTTCCGAAAAGACGCCGATCGAAACGGAGTCCAACTCTCCGCCTCACACTCTTTGTCCAACCTCAGCATCGTCTGCCACCTTGCGCGTCTGCATCCGCCATCCTCGTCTGGCCACGAGTTTGCGCAATTGCTCCTCTCCGAAACTAGACGGCTTGACGATCTCGCAGCTTGCTCATACAGTGCCATGCCGCCGTCGGCCAAGAGAGCCCAGCGCGTCCGCCGCGACTTACGCAAAGACAAGGACACAGCCAATCCGGTAGACATCGAGGATTCCTCTCCTAGCCGCCCCGCCAAGCGTCGCAAGCGTACTCGATCTTCAGACCCGGCAGACTCAACCGTTCTCTCTGCGACTGCATCGACTTCTCAGGCACACCATGTTCAAGACTCCCCAGGCATGGACGATGACCACATCGTCTCTCAGGTCACCCAGCAGCTCAAAACGCAGCCTGTCCAAGCAAGCAAAGACCATGCTAATGCAATCCACGAGGCCAACCGTAATGGTGTCAAAGCCTATGCGAAAGTGGCCGCCCAAGACTGGACGTTCTACATAACGAAGCTCGCCGTCAATATCGGTCGCGCCCCCGAGTTGTCCCATGTCGATGACGAAGAGGAAGACGAGGCCCATGTTCACATCGACCTGGGCCCAAGCAAGATGGTGTCGCGCGAGCATGCCTCTATCTGTTTCGATTCGAAAGATGAAAAATGGATTCTTCAAATAAAAGGCCGTAATGGCGCAAAAGTTGACGGGCAACCCCTTAAGCCTCGGGCGTTGCATGCCCTCACATCTGGCGAGGTTATTGAGATCGGCACCGTTGAAATGATGTTTGTGCTCCCATCGGAAATATCCCCTCTACATGTCCACCCCATGTTTCTGCAACGGTGTGGGCTAAGTCCAGAGGCGGCAAAGGCTCCTACATCTCAACGGCAGCCGCTCATTGCTCCGGCTCCCGCCGATTATAAACGGCCAGGAACGCCCCCATCTACGCAGAGGAGAGGAACCTCGACAGCAAAATCACCAATTGTCAGCACCCCGGCCGTATTGGTTGGCGCGCATGGTGTAGACCTTAGCGATGATCACAACCAGCATATTAAGCCGCAGTATAGTTATGCTCAGATGATTACGCAGGCGATATTGAATGCCCCTGATGGAAAGCTCAACTTGAATGGCATTTACACCTTTATTATGAATAGCTACTCGTATTATCGACATCAACAGGCAGCTGGCTGGCAGGTGAGTACCTTGTTGGCAAAGGAAAAGGCTTGACGACTGCCCGGCCTGGACAAGGATGTTTCCAACTAACGACAGTGGCATTTCTTGTAATAGAATTCTATTCGGCACAACCTCTCTCTCAACAAATCGTTTGATAAAGTCGCCAGATCTACTGATGAGCCTGGGAAGGGCATGAAATGGCAAATAGTTCCAGAGGCCAGAGAAGAAATGACCAAAAACGCCTTCAAGATCGGTCGTGGCGGTCACCGAGGCTCCTCTGCGCCGTCTTCGCCAAACCAACTCAACTACATTACCCAGGGGCCAAAGGATATGGCAACCAGAGACCCAGGGTCTACTCGGAAACGTCGAGCATCACCCACAGCTTCGCCACCACCTCGATCATCTCTGCGTGCTGCACAGTCAACTCCTCAACAAAGTTCGGACCGGGGTATCGGACGGAACGCCAATATGACAGCAGATGGTAGTCCGCTGCCACGACATCGCAAGTCGATGAACATGGCACCTGACTCCTCCATCTCGTCTTTCAACCCTCAATCTCCCACTCTGACCTCATCGTACCTACAAGATGAAGCTGCCTCCTTTGTAACACCGGCACCACCGCGTATTCACCCGAAGCTTGCGCCACCAAGCACCGCGCAGCGACCTAGCCAACACATGCCTACGAGCTCACCAGCACCTTTCTGGAAGTATGCTGAGATTGGCAGCACACCACTAAGGCCATCCGCACCATACGAATTCAGTCCATCAAAACTCGCTGGGGGAATATTGCCTCAAAGCAGCAGTCCACCTCGCGCGAGCAAGTCACCGCCTAGCAGCCCTTCAAAACCAAAAAGGCTTCCAGCTGTGGAAGGTACTTCGCGTGAAAGTGAGGGATCTGAAGACGTGGAAGAGGACCAAGGATTTGATTTAACAAAGTATGCCAGCCCGCTCAACGCCCATCTCCCCTTTCCCTTCTTTTCCTTTACCCCTTGCCCTTTGCGCTGCCAGACCTCATTCAGATCGAATCATATTTCCGTAGAATCTTTTGTTGGTGTGCTAACAATCGACCTTTGACTCAGGGGCTTTCAAAGCATCGGTTCATATCATGCACCAGTTGGGAGAGGTATATCCGTTGCTAATGCATTGCCTGGCAATTCATGATTTTGGCAAATGACCGTTTCATTTTGATCAAAAAAAAAAATCCCGCATTTTCGAAGACCCGATTCCGCCTTTGCGCTGCTTGCCACCACCCGACTGGTCAGGGGCATCTGACGATGACAGAAGCCGAGCCAGTGTATTGGCAACGACTTACGGCTACGTGCTACTTGCGCGCAGGCTTCGTACACCTGCAAGCTGTTGATTAGTGGAATTTCTACTAAGAAAGCAAAGTACCATTTGGTCCAAAACAAAGGGATCATGTTGTCGTTTTTCGGTCAGTGACCCCCTGTTGCCCTAAAGCACTTGGGCCATAGAAAGAAAACAGTGGTACAGAGATGCTAGCTCAAAATGCCACGCATTTGGAATGGGCAAAGGGCGCTGTGCTGAGCTGAGATGTTATGAATGCACTCTATGAAGCTAGGTAAATGCAACATGCTGCGTAAATGAACCACCGTTGGCGAATCCTCGCAATCAAGTGTACATGGAAGATGTTGCAACGTTTCCTGGCTTCACTTGCCAAAGCCATATGCCTTTATATGCTAGTACCAGCCAGTCCTGCCGAAGCCTGTCTCCCATTGTCTTGGTGCCGTTGCGCTTCTTCATACAGTTTCCCTTCAACCTAATGTATGATTTGGTACGATTAATATGACATAGACATAGTTGTACAAGCTCCACCTCTTCTTGGCCCCTTCACTTCCCTTTCGTTGATCATTTGTGACCTTGTATCCGTCGAAACGGAAAGTCTAATTGATCCCAAGGCACGGAGATCTATGCTTTTGTAGACTGTCCCCTGCGCTTAGGGTTTCCTCGACCAGGTCGCTTCTTCGAGGACTTGGACTTTTGGTCTCCCCCTTCGATGAACTTGATCAATTCGTCAATACTCCGTGGATCCATCTGCGAGGACTGAGCCATGCGCTGGGACCGGGCATCAGCTTGTTGTTCGGGGGGAACAGTTGCCGGGAAGCGGATACCCGAACGAATACGGCGAGACTCGACATCCTTGGCATGCTTGGCAATGGACACGGCGTTCTGGGTCAACTGCTCCAGCCAGCTTTCGGCCTCCTTCGTGTTTTTATCCTCCGGCCCGAGCTCACTGAGGAAGATGTTGTACGACTCACGCATGCGATTGACGGCTCCCTTCGAATCGTGGTCCAAAGCGAGAGCTTGTGCCAACTGGAACAGCAAAGTTGCCGAGTTGATGGATTGTTTGCCGAACACAGACTCGCACACGCGAAGTGATTCCTCAAACCACAACCTTGACTCATGGTACTGCTTCAGGTGTTGCAACATGACGGCTGCGTTATTAATCGTCGTAATCGAGTCAGGATGGCCTGGCCCGTAAATTACCTTCCAAAGCACCAATGCATGCTTTGAATATGTCAGGGCTCCCCGGCTATCTCCTACTTGATGTAGGAACAAACTCAAATTGAGGTAGTTCAGTAATGTCTCGGCTGAGTCAATACCAACAGTACGCTCAGCCACGACGATGGCCTTTCTGGCCAGTTCGACCGCCGCTTCCTTGTCATCCAGTTGGTAGTATAGCATTGATAAGCTGTTGTAAACTCTAGCTACCTCCGGGTGCAGAATGCCGTAAATCTGCTCATGCAATGACAGCGATTCGAGAAGAAGTTCTTGACCCAGCTTCTTCTGATTTTGGATGATCGACAGCCGTCCGGCCTCGAGGGCTTCCTCTGCTAGAGCGCTTCGTGGCGCGGAGTGCTTGATGACGGGAACAACATCGACTATGTCGTTAGGTGAGAATGTCAAGTTCGGAGTGGTCATGGTAGCTGTGGTAGTAGATGACTCCTGCCCCCTCTTCTTTTTCTTCTTGTCCTTCGATTCCCCGTTTTGCTGCCCGTTCACATGGTTGGCAGTGGCCTCGACGGACTGTTCAGAAGCATTTGGTCTTCCGTCGAAGCTGTAATCCCTGGCTTGAATCTGGATACCAAGTTTCAGGCAAATCTCGCGTAGTAGCTGGACTTTGCGAATGGTATTGAGCCAGTTGTCATCCAATTTGTATCTGAAGCGTTTGAGGACTTGTTCCTCGACGGTAGCTCGAAGTTCTGTCGGCGTGACTAGCTCAAAGGACAAATCGGCGTCAAAATACAGTGACTTGAGCGAGGGTTCAACTTCGGCCCTGGGCTTTGCGTTTAATTCCTGGCCCAGCAAACAGTTGAGCAGATGTGATATACAGGCTGTCGTGAAGGGAACGGGAAGATTCCTCAAATAGACGGCTGCGGCATGCTTGAACGCACGTGCTATCATGTCCTGAATACAGATCTCCTTGAGGCAACGCAACCTTTCGCCGGTAGCCTGAGAAGCAACAGCTCCTAGATATCGGACATTAATGCCTCGCTTGTGCAATAGGCGGCTCAGAGACTGGCCATCCATTGGAAAGCTGATGTCAGAGTCTGAAAGTTCCTGTAATAGGTCTGGAACCACCTGGTTGCGTAGATAATTTGCGGCTTGCCGCACTTCGTCTTCGTCCTCCTGAAGTTGCAACTTTTCCTCATCTGATTGAGGGAGTTGGCCGCTGAAGGCGTCGGGATTGAGTGAAAATTTGAAATCAGAGAGGTCAAGCTGTGCTTTAGGCTTTCTTTCTTCGGATGCTGCCCTAGATTCATTCTGGACATGTTCGTCTGCTTTCTTTTGGTCACGGCGTGCAAGTTCAGCATCAACCCACTGTTTCATCTTATAGCGAGCAAACGAGTCAACGAGCTCGGGTCTAAGGACGGTCATACGATGCGGGTATGCCATAGAATTTCCTTTCTCAGTCTGAAGCTTCGTTTCCTCGAGCCAACTGATATCATATGGCGTGATTCGGTAAAGGTCCAGGACATATTTTCGCCCATCGGTTCCGAGGAGGCCTTTGGTCTCAACGCTGGCCTCCAAGTCAAATCGCTTTCCGTCCTTGTCCCAAACGGGATGCCTCTTGACTTTGAGGGCTTTTGACAGCTGCGCGAACGACGCAGCAAAGCGCTCATCATCTGCAACAACGTCCTTGCCACCCACGGCACCATAGTCGATCTGGTTTTCTCCCGGCTCGCGCTGTTTGAAGATACCAGGCACAATACTTTGGCCAACAATTCGTTTACCAAGATAGTCGACGACAACAGTAGCTGGAGCAAACAAGCCTTCAATGTCAAGCTGATTGACCAATCTTACCCCTGCAACATCCTTTCCTGTCGCAACTCTGGCGGCTTCATCTCCGCCTTCAGATGTAAAGGTACCGACACCGTCGGCACCAAAGGAAAAGAAAATGTTGTTGTACACAAATATCTGAGCATCTCTGCTCTCCGTAGGGTTAAGAGGCGCAATCTCCCCTCGGGCGACCATGACTGCGCCTTTGATAGCAGCGTCATTGTAGTCTGCGAATAGCTTTGATACTAGTCTCTCACGAAACACTCGATCTTGCACAGTTTCTTTCGGCAGTTCTTTGGCGGATTGGAACTCTTCATTCCAATCACGCAATGTGTCTGTATTCTCAACTCCGGAGAGCAACAAGGTTTCTTGCGGGCGCGTGGGGTCAGCGACATGAGTACATAGTACTGATGTTGGCGGAGGCACCGCCCATGGTGAGGATGGAACGGCATTAGTTATTTGAAACGTAGCCAGAGGATCTCTCTGGCTGTTGTACTCGAGTAGCTGTTGGAATGCATCTGAGAAGGAAGGTGAGATGAGAGTTATGAGCTCTAGCAGAGAATGAGAAGCGTATCCTTTGGGTGCTGCTCGAGGATAGGGGTCAAACTTGGCGTTCGAAGACTTGTTCACATAGAAGCCCGATACATGAGAGGTGATTTGGAATTGTTCTCCCTCATTGGTAGTGACTACAATGTATAGCAGGTGGCCACGTTGTCTCAAGTGGCATGGTGGAGGATTCCATGACGAAAGTCCAACAGATCTGACCGTCCTTGGTCCAGGTTCAAAGAAGTCAGGGACAAGGCTGCTCAAGCACGGTGCAGACTGGAAGTTGAAATCTTTTAGTGGTGATACGTCTTGAGCGGCACCGGAAACTTTTTGAGTCTGTCGAGCAACGCTTTCAAAGAGCGAAAGTCCAGGGAGAACACCTTGGTAAATGCCTACGCGATCGCCAGCAGCGCCAATGAGCTCGCGAATCCTTACCAGATGGATTCGTGCCTCTTTCTCCGTGTACGGGTCTTCTACCAAATGGAACTCGGGCTCCGGGTCGAGGTCGGGGACTTCGGCAATAGAAATAAAGTCATTGACTTTGTTGCCTCGATGCTCGAGATGAAAACAGGTATAGCGAAATGCAGCAGGCAAGTCGATGATGGATTGACGGACCTCGTGAACTTGTTCCTGAGACGAGACCTAAAGCTGCCATGTTACTAACCGGGCACCTTCTCTGCTCAACGCCAACTCACCATTATCTGCATCTTCGTCGCATTGGAATCAGGTAAGACAATGGTCAGGTTTATTAAAGCTGAGGAAACCCATCAATCAGGAAAAGCAGGAAACACAGACAGCAGCTCAATAAAAACCATTACCTTCCCCGCCGTTCTCTGCTTCAACGTCCACGTCGGTCTCGGTGGCGACAGCCACGGGATGGGCAGGCTCTTGGATGGCCTCTGCTGCATTGAAAGAATTGAACCGTTAGACAATTAGAACGACTTCAGGCTGGAGCGGTCCCAACCGCATCATGAGAAAGAAAAACATACCTGTATCTGAGGCGGTGCCATTTGGAACCTGTTCTGGGGCGGCCATGACTCAAGACAGATATAGAAACGGAAGCAGAGAAAGATGAAGACAATGAGGGGTATGAACTTCAGAAAAATCTGCTCATGAAGTGTGCATTAGCATTGTCTCAACAGATGAGAAGAGGTTGCAAAGGGTCGATAGCTCAAGGAGGTTTTGCACGGGCTCCATCGGACCTCGACGAGGGAAAAAAAAAAATGGACAAGCTACGGAGTACTTGAACGGCAAAGTCCCGGCCGGCCGGACCAGGAGGGCTACGGAGGAGTACTTGTGAGATACATATAATTTCTGGCAAGTGAGTGCAAAATCCGAGTACTGGTTAAGTTGCTCCTTCCGTGTCGGCGATCTAGACCCTGGCAGACATTCCCAAGCACTAATCCAGAAAGGGAGAAAGTGAGCTTGCCGCGGCTTGCTATTTTGTAACAAACACCTCTCATATCGCCAAGGCGGGTCCAGGAGGAGGGGCTAGTACCACCTAGGTGCCTAGTGTAGAGGTGCTTAGAAGTACTTCAAAGAACAAAGTCGATTCACCCCCATTATCGTGTTCTATTGCCGCGTTGCACCAGACAAGTCCGTAAGCAGACATGTAGATCGTTCTACACCAACGCTCTGGTAATATTCTAATCAAGTGATTGCTACAAGTGATTGTTAGGTACTAAGTCTCCAACAGGCATCTATGTACTTAAGCACCCTTCTCCGCGGTGGTGTGGGTTTGAGCTCGTATACTGATTGGCCGAGATTGGCGGTCGTGCCAAAGTTGGAGTACTACGCGGCTGAGTCCCGTGCACCGACTCGCAGTTCAACATGATGCTTCTACGGAGTACTCCGTACGATGACTACAATCCATCATCGAAGCCAGCGCCGATGTTGCTGGCTGGAACTGCACCATATTTATAACCTTGTTCTCTGTCCCCCAGTCTGAGTTTTTCGCCATCTTCTTCCTCCTATTGTTACTACACTACGGCGTGCGTACCGCTCAACGCCCGCCAAAATTTCGGTTGGCAGATAAGACGCAACCATGGCTTCCCGTGCCGCAGTCCCCTTCCTCGTGGCGATGATGCTCGTCACAGGAGTGTGCAACACGCTCCTCACGAAATACCAGGTGAATAATTTGCCGTCGGCCACTAATACCCCTAAGGCTACACCTTTTTCGTAATGGGCCAAGCAGTCGCTGACATGATGTGTAGGATAACCAATGCGTGCGGAATTGCAACGGAAAACGACCCCAACTCTTTGAGCAGCCAGTGCTCCAAACGGCGCAGATGTTCGTGGGCGAGATGGGATGCTGGCTCGTCATTGCACTGATGGCCGCGCATCGGCGCCTCGTCTCTCAACCGTCCCCCGAAGAACGCGGCTACGAAACTGTCAACACCACTGATAACACAGGACATCAAGAGCACAACGGGCCCAAGCCAGATGGAAACGGCACGTCTGTTCTCAGAGGGTTTCGCGTCGTGCTCCTGGCATTACCTGCAATTTGCGATATTTGCGGTACTACGCTCATGAATGCCGGGCTACTCCTCGTTGCTGCATCCATTTACCAAATGACCAGAGGTGCTCTTGTGTTATTCGTTGGTCTCTTTAGTGTCATGTTCCTCCGCCGGCATCTTCACCTATTTCAATGGCTCTCTCTCGTGGGTGTCGTTTTGGGTGTCGCCGTTGTGGGCTTAGCTGGAGCTATCTGGCCTGATGAGAAGCAAGTATCCCAGGGTGGTGCCAGCTCGCTTGCCAGCGACGATTCTAGTGGAGGACTTTCAGACGCCTCAAGAGCTGTCATCGGGGTACTCCTAATTGCTGGCGCTCAGATTTTTACAGCAACGCAATTCGTGCTCGAGGAATGGATGCTGGAAAACTCAAGCATCGCGCCGATCAAGGTCGTCGGCTGGGAAGGCATTTTTGGCTTCACCACCACACTCTTGGTAATGGTCGTCATGCACTTCTTGGTGGGACGCACAGAGACTGGGCGCTATGGCCCATTTGACATGCATGAGGGTCTTCGACAAATGTCCCAGCCAAATATCTGGATCTCTAGCGTCCTCATCATGATAAGCATCGGGTAAGCCTGCTCTAAAGCCGTATGTCAGTCATGTTATGTGATTTTTGTGCTGAAACTTTTGCTCGCCATAGTGGGTTCAATTACTTTGGCCTGTCGGTTACACGCAGCGTCAGTGCGACCTCTCGATCGACTATTGATACTTGCCGGACGCTATTCATTTGGATCGTCTCACTAGCTCTCGGCTGGGAGTCATTCAAGCTACTCCAAATCGTTGGTTTTTCCCTACTAGTATATTCGACTTTTGTCTTCAACGGAATTGTTCAACCTCCATTGGAAAGTTTGCGCGTCAACGAGGAGGTGGAAGAACTACTTCCTGAGGAACCTATCGAACACCAGTAGTATATTATCTCGTTTTCATGCACTGTGTCCTTGAGAGCCTTGAGCACCATTGCATGACCTGGTAGTTAGAATACTATATAGATATCCGAATATTTGTTCTTATCTTTCCATGCCAGTCATCATTCTTCCGTACGAATAGTGATTCGGAAGTCTCCATGTCAGTCCTACACTCTCAATAGACATAGAAATAACAGTTCCCTTCTCAAGTTACATTACAGAGAAGCTCTGCTTCGAGAATGAACTTTCCCTCTTTGTACTTCTCAGAAGGTTCGTAGGCCTTGTCGTATTTCCAACCCACTGTTTCCTTGCACTGGCGACAAGTAATATCGCGAACCAAGTGCCTGCCGGTCGTCATGTTACGCTCATTAGGCTCACCGGCCTCAATGTTCACAACACGGTGGAACAGGTACGCCTTGCCATGCTGGCCGCGAAAATTCTAACATGACGGCTCTGTTAGCAAATTCAGCTCGCTAAGTGTCCGTGACGTGAAATCAGAGCGTCAGAGTCGAAGGACCCGGAAGCCGTTCAGAAGTCTAGCATGCAGTGGTCGCAAGGTCGTTTCGGGAGTCGGCGGACGGTGTGATTGTACATACTCGACTAATGATGTCCTCGTGATTTGCGAGGTGGGTTTTGCAGGTCTTGCAGCCGTATATCTTGTCGGCATTTAGATATGTGTTGTAGGAAAGGCCCATGTCTCCAGGTATCTGTGAACTAGTGACGTCGTGTTTGATGGCTCCAGGCCGAGGGCTGTGGGTGGAGGACACAGACCAGGGCGGCTTGGTTGAACCAAACGTGTGGCAGTGGAGGACACGGTGCTCGAGTAGGTGGCGAGGGCGGAGAATAGCACAAGAAGACGGGAAATGGTAAACGGAGGCACCTCTAGGTGGGCGAGTATGCTGGCCGATGCGGTCGATGACTGCGATGAATGGTTATTGTCCAGACTTCCAGATGAGGCTCGTCAACGTTGTTTTAAAGCTGAAGAGAACCAGTTGGCGTGCGTGAGTGAGTCGGTGACTTACGTCAGGCGGTACTTCCTCATCCATGTACTACAACAACTCCACAACTGGGGGTTAGCGCCGGACCGTGTGGAGACTGGCGAGCCGTCACTGGTTCGGCGTGGATTGCATGTTTCTAGCCTTATTGCTCAATTTATTTCACTAAGCTTTGGTCGATTTTCTCAAATACTTCTTCCAGCTGCACATCTGGCGCCCTTTCCCTACCTAAAACCGCTTAAGCTAAAGTTCTACTGATTTAGCAGCGCATACACTATCCTGGGATGAATTCATCTACAACTAAATTGCAGTTCGGTCATCCAGTCTGCTTAGATGTCCGCAATCGGCGTGTTTCGCGAACCTAGACCTATTCTTTGTATCTGGAGACATCTGAGCCAACTAAATAGATCAAGTATCTCCCTTTGAAGTCTCTTGCATTCTGTACTGGGCCATAACACAACAAGTAGTCTTTGAGATGTGGCCCTCTCAATGAAAGTTAAAATATTGGAATATAATTGCAGAATTATCACAGTGAGGCTATATACTTAAGGACGAATCGCCCCAGAAATCAACATACCATCCCGTCCCGGGAACGCCAGCCGGCCAACAAACTAGGTAAATCGGCAAAAAAAAAAAAAAAAAAAAAGCCATTTATTTATTGTTTGTCCTTTTTCTTCTTACCGTCGAGATTCTTGTCTTGAATGTTGTTAAAGTGCCAGACACCCTGCTCCCTGTCGCGCTCTAGACGTTCTGTATCTGCGGGACTGAGTGGCACCCCTTCTATGCTCTTAACAGTCTTCCCTTCTAGGAACATAATGAATCCCCCAATACCAGCGACCCCACAGCCAAGGGCAACAAATAGACCAGTAGCCCAGCTCGGGCGACTATACCGGTTCATACCCCACATGAACCCTGAGAGAACGCATTGCAAGAATGTGTTGGCGACCATGAGCCAGATGACCAGATCTAACTTCCAGCCTAATGTCGGTCGGGCTCGGACTTCAGTTAGGGGAGCCTCGGGAATCTTCGTCTCAGGAAATGGGATTGCAGAGCGAGAGACCGACTGGAACTCATCTCTGTCAACGTTTTGAGGTCCTAGGGCCGCCGGTAATTCATTCGAACCCCCCAACCGAAACCACCCCCGATGAATGCCAGCCAGTCGCCGGAGAGCCCTTTCCTTTTTCGCCAGTCGGTATTGTAACAGGAAATATAGATCTCTAAATCTCCAAGGGGCAAGTCCGAATCCGGTGACACAAAATAGCGCATTGAGAATCTGTGAGTCGACCTCGATCCACTTGCGCCGCGGTGAGTTGATGTCGTTGCAAGAAGGGTAGCACATGGCAGGCGCTGCATAACTTGGTTAGTACTTGGTGAATGGGATTTGACATTGGAAGCGCGCTTACCGGCATTGCACAGGAGCAGGAACAACATCCCGCCCCACGCAACCACGTTCAAGCCGTAGATAGTGACGGCGAAGCCCACAGGCGTGAGAAAATAGTTCCAAAACGCAAGGAAACCTAGCTTCGCCGATTCGCCGAATGAGTGTTTCGGGGGGAAATGGTAGCCGTTTGGAAATGGCGCTGCAGATGGGGGCTCGCCCTTACAGTTGGCGATTTTCTGGTTACCTTGGCTACCATCATTCTTGCTCTCTGCCTGACCTTCCTCGGAGCGATGACCTGGGGCGGACTGCGACGTATTGTCACCAGGAACGGCTGGCCGGGCTCTGGGCGAACTCATGTAACTGGAAAAAGGTCGAGGGTCGGCCTGGCGTGAGAGAATGGACGAGGCTAATCCGCCTGTTGCTGCGAAGAAGCCTTCTGGCAGTTCAGATTGCTCAAAGCTTCGGGATGCACGTCGCAGGCGTCCACTCAAGGATGATGACGCAGCAGGCCGATTCGCCCCTGTGCCCTTTGATCCATCAACGCTGGGAGACTGCGCAACTTCTGTCGGCGAGCCTGGCTCAATTGGGGGAAACAGCTCAACGCCCGCGTTGTTCTCTCTTGCGCCGGACATGGTCGTTCGTTTGAAAGGTGGTGGCGATGGCAAAATGATCGGTATCGGAGCTCCCTTGAACTTTGAGCCCAAGACTGCGGAGAAAAATCCGCGTCATAGGGAGTGCTGGGGTCCTTATATCGCCAATCTCCCAAAAAGAAAGAGTCGATGGCGACTGCCGATGGGGAATGGCAGGAAACAAGGGGTGGACGACCGATGACAAAAGAGTATCCCGAACCTCATGGTGGCCAAACTAGGCGGTGGGGTTGTGGCCCCAGACGTGGTCCTGTTACTCCGTAAGGCACAAGCGATTCAGCGGGTGGGCCAATTCCTCACATTTTGACCCATGACATGACACTTGTTTCACGTTCACGGATTTTATCAGCAAAAACCGCCAGACTGGTCGCCATCACATCTAGCCAACCATCTACAAAAGTACATGATCGGAACCATTACTGTGAGCCTTAAATTGTCTTCTTCAGACCCGTTGTCTCAAGGCAGAAATGATAGTCGAACAAGAACAGCACGAGTCGCCTGCGGTGAATGATATCTGCGATGCCGTCCTTCACAACTTGGCAGACCAACATGACTGGACTTCCCTGGAGCTCCGCGATGGACCAGAGCAGCCTCGACCTCTGATCAAAGGCCTGCCGCCCAAGCGGCTGTATTTACACCCTGACGACCAAATTGCTGCCCTTGCCCATGAAGAAGCCACTGGCGAGAAACTGTTCCAAAACCCAGAATATGTACTGGTCTTAGCAGTGCATATCAATGAGAGATGGACCCTAGCCAAGTTTGCGGCTGTTTTCGATTCGATACCGAGCGACGACGCACAGCCAAAGAGGATTTTGTTCGCCACTCTTCACAATGACTCCACCGTGGTTTACTACTGGATGCACGAAGGGATGGTGAAGCCTCGCCAAAACTGAAATTTTTTTGGGAGACTTCCGCCGCTGGCCGCAAATTGCCACCTACTATGGGCGAAAAATGACCTTCTGGACCTTCATTTTGTCAAACAGCTCGTATCCTTCTACAGCATCGTTTAACGGCATGACGTGGTCGAACATGAATCTGCATCGGCAAGTGCATTGGTCAGTCTAACAGTCTAATCCTCCAACAGTGTGCCCTTTGGCTGGGACAAGGGAAGGATATCTTGGAGGCTTGACTTGTTGAAGACTCACTCCAGTTGGTGCTGTTTCTGCTCCAAGACTTTCAATGCTTCTGGAAAAACATGACGGACGGGGCACCTGCCCATCTGAAGTCGGATATTTTTGCTGCAACATTGTTAGCATTCGTCTTCTCTATCACTCTCTTCCGCTAACAGCTAGAATGCGAGAAGGTTCTATTCATACCCATAACCCTCATTTCCGGTCCACGGGATCTAGAGCAAGATGTCAGGCAGATGCCAAGAGGGTTTGTCGAGGGCTTCACACCTCTGCATTGTGGACTCCTATACTGCTGATTACCCCGAATGGTCTGACAAGATCGAACGCAGTCCTCAACGCTGGGCTCAGGCCCACGGCTTCCACTGCCATATCTGCCCCACGACCGTCTGTTGCTGCCATGACGTGCCGGCGCATCCCTTCCGGATCACTCGTGATTTTCAGAGGCGTGGCACCAAGGTCTTGAGCAATTTTCAGTCGGCTTTCTACCCCGTCGACCGCAAAGAGATGACGAGGTTGGAGGCTGGATGCACAGGCTATCGCGCAGAGGCCAACAGGACCACAGCCCACGACGACGATGGTGGACTGGGTGATTTTGAGGGTGGGGGACAGCTCTATTGCATTTTTCACTCCAAAATACCCAGTAGGAAAAATGTCGGCCATTAGGAGCAAAGCACGATCAGAGATGGTCTCTGGAGCCTTAAAAACAGTACTGTCGGCAAACGGCACTCGCACATATTCCGCTTGCCCGCCGTCGAGTCCGGCAGAGCCAAAGAGCAAGCTTTGGTCGCAGCGAGCCGTGAAGCCCCTCTCACAGTAAAAACAGTTTCCCCTTCGAGTCTTTCATGTCAGAGGAGCTTCCATATCGACGCCACATTTCTAATCGGGTTATGGTGGTACCGAGCTCAACATACCACGATACGGTGAAAGGAGAAACGACCTTGTCCCCAACTTGAACGGTACGCACATCAGACCCAACTTCGCTCACGATGCCGGTAAACTCGTGACCCATTATGAAGCCGCAGTCCGATTTTTGGTGTCCACGGTATACATGCAACTCACTGGGGCGACGGTGTCAGATGTGAAACCTGATTGGGGTCAGATGAGAATTGGGAGTGCATGACGACTCACGATCCACAAAGGGCAGTCGCTTGCACCTTGACAATTATATCTTTGCTGTCTTGCACTGAGTCCATGTAAGGCACTTTCACTCGGGCAACTTGAAAACGCAGTTGGATGAGAATACGCACGTTGAGGAACCGGGCGGTCTCGTACCGCGACCTGGCCTGGCCCTTCGAACACGACGGCTCTCATCGTCATCAGGAGATTCGTGGTTAAGAGGTATTCATTCGCTTTGAGCACCGTCTCAGTCGACTTCTCAGGTTTTGGTATTGAGAGAGACGACGGGCCAAATTTGATACCTGATGCTGGAGCGACGGGCTGCTTTTGCTGCTTCCGGGGCTAATTAGTAACGCATGAGGGGTCGCGGATGTGGCCACCGGACCACCGGACCACCTCAATACAATGTGTCCGTCCGGTGGGGTCTTCCAGCCAGATTCATTGCCTCCCATTGTCAGGCCGGGCTACCACTTGGATGGACTTGAGACAATTCAAGGTCTAGGTACTATTCTGGGCTTTGCCTACGGGAGTTGGTCGGCATAAAGAAGAAGGGGAGGAGGAGGAAGTAGAAGAAGAAGACAACTGGATTTAGTGCCTAGAAATCGTCATATATGGCAGGCTCAGAGACAGCTAGTCTATCGTCTCCTGCCAAGTAAGTACTACAAAGAAAGTACCAAGTGGCCTACCTACCTATTTAGCTGCCTAGGTAGTTACTTATTGAGCCATCTCACGGATCGCCGACAACTGGCATAGTTGAGTATGTCGGGGTCCAGTACTTCATTGTCCCGAGTGAAGATTACTTACTAGCATCTCCCCGATAGTTGCATGCTGCATACACGACAATATTACATATAAATACCTGGGTGCTGGATGCCCTTAACTGGAAAAGGGCATGGATGGGCATTTCATTCATTAAGCTCGCGCATCCTCCACCCGCTTGCCCCGTGCCCTTGCCCCACCCCCGGGGCGTTCCTACAGCACGGGTGGATTATGGTGAACGCAGGTGGAGCGGGATGCGGCTGATGAAGCCCATAACACCCAGTTGCAAATTGCTCGTCAACAAGGGGTTGGGCATGTAACTAACTTACAAGAAATACAGGCATGGAACCACAAGATAGCACTAGTCACCAGAGAGAATGCAGATGACCCGACTATTGCTCGCCTTCCTGACCTGACCTGACCATTGTAGTTGACCTGACCTGACCTTTCCTAATTGGGCAGTATACATCCCGGAGTTAACCCGAACACCTAATCTTAACCCTAACTCTAACCAGTGCTTTTAAAATTAAGGCTCCGCTAAATTCTCCACTAGCAATAGTCAGGTCACCTCAGGTAGGCGAGCAATGGTCGGGTTATCTACACTCTCGTGACGAGACCTCTAATAAATATAGTAAATATATTTATATCCCGACACAACAACATCGCGAGGTGCTTATAAAAGGGGACACTATTATAGAGGCGCATAAAGAGCGGGCCGCCGCCGACACAGTATTAGCCGTGAACTAGGCCGTCGGCTGCAATGCTGCTGTTGCTGTAAGGCGCCTGCTAAGTAGCAATACTATAGTAACTTTCTAGAGTAAGGCAAAACAATATTAAGAGGAAACTAGCTAGGTCTAGACTGCCTTTAGCCTAAATGTAACTATATACTAATAAGTGCTTAGCGTAATTATTAAAAAGTTCTCTACTAAGTATATAAAGGTTAAAGGCCTTACTAAAGAGATATTAAAGACAAATAAAGTAAGAGTTATATAAGCTACTCTATAGCAACCTTAAGGTAAGTCTGCTGTAAGAGCGCTCTTAATACTAAGTATAAAAGAACTAAAAAATACTAATAAGTTATACTAGAAAGGCTTAGTCTTCTAAGCTAAGATATTTAATATTAAACTATATAATAAGGCTCTCTACTTAAGGTAGTACTTTAACTGCTATAGCATTAAGTATATAGCTAAATACTATAAGGTAATGCTAAAGTGCAGCTAGTATACTACTAAGCGCTATATAGATAGAGAATAATTATACTTTATAATTACTAGTAATATTAAGGAAAAGTGCATTCTATATAAAGAAGCATACTTAGCTTAGAACTAAGCTTACTTTATTTTAAAGAAGTACTAAAATAAAGCTAAAGAGAAATACCTAGAACGCTTAATAAGGTTTACAGACTACTAATACCTAGACTACTACTACTAGTAAATTATAATTAACTTTAACTTAGAGTTAAGCAGAGAATAGCCTACTTAGAGGCTATCTACTAGAGAGGTAGAAATAAAACTAAGAATATAATACCTCTAGCCTAAAGACTAGCTAGCATTCTACTATATATAAGCTGCTTTTTATTGCTAAGAGATACTATAGCGCTAAGAATTAATATTATCCCCTCCTCTTAAAATGCTTAAGATACTATACTAAAATATTAATAAAAAAAACAACTTTATTTATATAGTGCTTTACTACTAGCTTAATATTAACTTAATAGTAATATAAAAATAAAAACAGACAAAATAAAGCTAGCCTTCTAGCTTAAAGCTTAGCAGCTATAGACTAGTATATTACTAAGGTAGAAATATAGTATATATTTATACTTAGTATAAGCCTAGCTTATAGTTAGTTAAGAATAGTAGTAAAGACTAAGCTAATATAAAAATTAAGGGAATTAAAGTTATATTACTATACTTAGAGCTCTATAAAAGCAAGAGGTAGAATATATCTCTATATAATATAAAAGCTAGAGAGGCTTAAAATAAGTATATATTAGTTAGAGACTTTAACCTTAAATACCTACTTTAGAATAAGCTAGAGAGAACTAGCTAAAGCTATAAAGAACTATTAGCAATAGCAGCTTAATAGCAGCTTAGCTTAATAACACTAAAAAAAGAACTTATAAGGCAAAAATATAAAGATAAAGATAGCACTATTAACTTAGCTTAAGCTTTATAGAGCCTTAGAGTTATATATTAAGGAGCTATAAATCTAGCTAAATTTAACTATATTCTGCAGCTAATCTAGGTTAATACTAAGGTAGATAATAAGCCTCTAGCGCCTATAAGGCACTTATAGAAGAAGCTTAATAAGAAATTAGTAAAGATAGAGGCTAAAGTATAGTTTTAAGGTAAGGCAGTAATATAGCTGCTTTATACTTAGGCTAATATTAATAAATATATAGACTAAATAGTATAATAACTCTAGAAGATAGCAGATAATACTATACTAAAGAGAGCGCTAAGGCCTTCTTGCTAGAAATAGTAGTAGAGCTAGTGCGTAATAAAGGTAGTATTAAATATAAGAAGAGCAAAATAAGTATAGTACTGCAGATAAATAACAGCTAACTAGAAATACTACCTTAAGGCTAACTTAGTATAAAGCTAGATTACTACTAAGAAATATAAAAGCGCTTAGTATAAAACTCTCTACTCTATAAATATTAGAAATAATAAGATATAGTAGCTAGAAAGATAGGCCTATCTATATAGCTATATACTACTTAAACTTATACAGCTTCTAGCTCTACTTTAAGATAGAGAATTTAATATAGCTAATCTAGCTATATACCTAAAGGAGAAGGCAGACATTCTTACTATACAGTTCTTTCTAAAGCTAACTACTAATATTAGCAATATAGCAGACCTAGCTTTTTGCTAGCTTAATAGTATACTTATACTAGCAGACTAATAGTTTATAGATATAGATATATATAAAGCTCTTATAAAGATAGTAAGCTAGAAAGCCTCTAGAGACAATAAAATACTAGCTAGCCTTCTAAAAGCCTATAAAGCACTTCTTATAAATATTCTTACCTACCTACTAGTTAAAGTAGCTAAATATACTTATTTCCTAGCTTAGTTCTAAACTACTAGAGTAGTTATTCTTTATAAGCCTAAGAAAATACCTACTAACCTAAAGTAGGCTAGGGAGTAGTGCTTTATATTACTACTTAACGTTATAAGCAAGGTACTAGAGGCTATAATAGCAGCCTAAATTATAGCTATTGCTAAGGCAGAAGAAATACTACTAGATATATAAATAGGCAATAAAGCAGATAAGTTAATAGAAGTTACACTAAGAGTAGTTATAAAAGCAGTAAAGACAACTTAAAGCTAGCGTAATATTGCCTTACTACTACAACTAAATATTAGTAGTATATTTAATACTATTAGCTACTTAAAGCTGCTTGCTATATTACTTAAGGCAGAAGTACTAGAATAGCTTATAGCTTATATTTAAGCTGTTATTAACTTAAGAATAAGCTAGCTCTACTTTAATAGATAAGCTTTAAAAGTATACTAAATCTCTATAGAGGTTCTATAAAGCTTGCCTCTATTGCTTATTCTCTTTCTTCTATATATAGCGCTACTATATGCCTAGCTTTAAGCTGTAGATATAACTATTATAGTAGGCTTTACAGACAATATAAACATTCTAGCGTTTAGAAGGAATATAAAGCAGACTAGGAGGCAGCTTAAGGCTGCCTAGAATATATACTTAACTTAGGCAAGAGAGGCTAGAGTTAAATTTAACTTAGCAAAAAGCAAGTTGCTATACTTTAGCTATACTAGAGAGCTGCACTAAACTTAGATATAGCTAAGTGCTAATAAAATTACACTAAAGGAAAGCTATAAGTTTCTAGGCGTCTAGATTAATAGAAAGCTAAAGTAGAACTATTATAAAGCCTAAATAAAGAAGAAATTAGCTATATAGCAGCTTGCTCTTACTATACTCTTAGCCTTAGCTTAGAGCAGTATATACTTTAGTAAAAGAGCTCTATATATAGTAGTAGTTTAAGGTATTATTGCTTATAAAGTAAGTATATTTTATATACCTACTTAAATTTAAGGCAAACCTAAAGAAGTTACTAAACAACTTATAATAAAGTAGTTATAGTGCCTTTAAGCTATT